TCCCTGGCCGAGATGGTCTATCGCGAGACGGGCGAGCCGCTGGACGCGGTCATGTCATACAACCACTTTTGCGTGCAGAACACGCGTCTGGGGCATGCGGCGCGGTTGCAGAGGTTCGCGGGCGCGGGCGTCGACTGCGTGCTGAATGCGAGCATGCTCGGCATGGGCCTCCTGACGAGGGTGGGCGTGGACAATGGGCCCCAGAGCCTGTGGCACCCGGCGCCGTCGGGTCTGAGGTCGGCCTGTCACGGGCTGGCGGCCATTGCCGAGCGCGAGGGCGAGCACTTGGAAAAGGTGGCGATTCAGTGGTCCATGAACAACTGGGCACGGACAGGCGCGCAGTTTGGCACCACGGCCATTCCTGTGCGGGAAGAGGGCAGCGCAGTCCGCCAACCGACGCGGATGGGCATCAGCGTTATGGGTGTGACCAACGTGGCCGAGTTGGATGAGACATGGCAAGCATGGCGCTCTGTCGTCGGTGACGCGAGCGACGAGATGGAGGCGCAGAAGCGAGAGAGGATCACCAGACTTGTCGAGGACAAGATGTGGGCGAGCCTGGGTGGGTGGAAAGATTACGCCTGGGAGAGCGGCCTCGCCAGAGCCGATGCTGTGGCACCTGGCGCCACGTCTCAGCCAGTGCCCGTGAAGGAGAGGGACACATCTGGGATTGCCAAGATATGAACCAAGTTATTACTCATGCGCAGTTGACAACAACGTTGTCGACGATCTTGCAGGCATCCATCGGTTAGCACTGCAGGCAATACGGATAACCATGCTGAGGTTATGATGTGTCATGAATATCTATCTACCTGTGTCTTCCTGAGGGGACAGAAGAAGGATTCTACGATCTAACGAGTTTCCTGTTGCGGCCCAGATGGGGCGATGGCACGGTGTACCACTGGACCAACGTGAGACTCCCCATGGGCCCAAGATGCTACTAGTACGAGTGGCTTGAATTTTCAAGACACGGACTTGCTAATACAGTTGAAGCGGCAGATCTGCCTCTATTCAATTTTCCGACATTTCCCCACAGTAACGTTCTTGGCCGCGATGTTAAGCCTCCGCGACCATGGGTGCCTCAGACGATAGACTACTCATAGAGACCATGACGCAGAATCCATCTCGAAGACCTCGTGCTATGGCAAGAACCTTGACATTATGTGCGGGATAGGGATGTTTCTGTGCGCAAGACTGTACGTTCTCGACGTTTCAAAGCCCCGATGCACACTTGAACTTCAAGTATAATGAGGCAGACTATTCTCGCCAAGAGTCTCTTATTCAACGCAGACCCTGATCGTTAACAGTGCTTGTTTCAGAGTGAAACACATTCTTCCCACACCATCACTACACCAGCCCAGCCCAACAGTACACACGACCGCAAAAATGTAGTATGGAGAGCACCAAGTGGAATGGCGGCAACTACGGGGAACTGAGCCTCGGGGATGGCACCGACCTTGATGCGGATGGTATCACGGGCCACATCCAATCCATTGGCCTGCCGCCGCGGAATGACGACCCACGATGTCGAGTCCTGCGGGACGGCCAGGATACAATTACGGCGGAGGGGATCTCGAACCCCTGGGGTCTCCCAGGCACGTTTGGGCAGAAGCTGTCTTGTGCCTTCCTGTGGGACTGCTGGTTCACTTGCCCTCCGTACGAGAGCTTTTTGTCACGCCGCGTTACCCTTGAATTCCGGCCTGCTACCTATATATAAACACTGTAAATTTGCAATAATTCTGTGTAGTTTGAATCCTCCGTATGGTGAATGCACTCCTCTTTCTAAATACGTCTTCTGCTGACATGGACCCCTACCCACAGCCATACGTCCGGTGCTATTCTAGCCTGTCTTGTACAGAATGTATAGCTCGCCCTCCCTAGAGTTGTCACTCGCAATGAACAGCCTCGTGTACTCCAAATCCCACGACAAGCCACTGGGCCTGAAACACTTGCTGCTGTTACAGTCCTCCTGCGGATCCCACAGGATATCATCGTACCCATCCTTGCTGTCCCGCGCGGCCACGGGCTCATACTCGCCAGCATCGTTGGTCGTAAAGGGAATAGAGACAACCTTGTACCCCGTGGGAACATCCCTGTTCCAGGACCCGTGGAGGGAGACGTACATGTTGCTCCCCTCGCGGTCAAACTTGGCGTCGAGGGGGGCCGAGTGCGCCTGAAAGTTCAGACGCGGGGCCACGGAGTGCGCCTCGCACGTGGCGTCGGTAAACGTGTCGTTGGGGGCGGGGATGAACTGGGCGCCCGTTTCCGGCGGCTGGCTCCCGGGAAACTCGTCGCCGCCCCAGACGGTGAAACAGGTTGGGTACCCGTACCAGTCCTCGTTCGAGACGGACGGGTCCCCGAGGAAGTTGACCTCGTCCGAGGGGTTGTTCTCGTGAATGTCGTATTCCACGCCGTCAATGGTGCGGGTGAACTCGTCGGCCGAGTTCTCGACACCCCAGACCATATTGTTGTTGTCCGTGGTCAGGCCAACCTCGTTGCGGAGACCGTAGCCGAGGAACCAGCCCTGGGTGGAGTAGTCGTAGCCAACCTCGGGCGCCGCGGTCATGTCAAAGACCTTTACGATGGCGCGGCCGACCTCCTTGTTGACCGCGGGCATGTCCAGGTTGCCATCGCTCCCCAGGCTGACGACGAGCAGATCAGGGGTATCGGGGGGAACGAGGAGAGTGCGGGTGGGGTGCGAGGAGGGAAACATGTTGGCGACAACAACCTTTTCGTTGCTGACGGTCTGGGTCTCCGGGTCGTAGTCGTACTTCCAGACGGTGTCGATGGACGACACGTATAGAGTCCTGCCACCGGGGGCGAAAGCAACGCCATGCGTGAGGCCACGTCGCTCAATGAGTGTCTTGGAGCCGGCTATACAGCCACCACTGCCAAACGTGTGCACGGAAAGCCCTGCGCCTGCCTCCACGAGCAGCAGACTGCCAAGGCCATCGATTGCGATTCCACGAGGCGTTGTCAAATCACCTGCAAGCTTGACGAACGACCAGCCGTCAGCAGCCTCCAGAGGGAAGAGGCTGGTCTGGCCGCAGTTGGAGGGGATAGGGACAGGCTCCGAAGGGATAGGGGGGCTGGTAGGTGTCGAGGTGGCTGAAGTGGTCGTGCCATCGGTAGTAGTGGGCGTGGGACCTTCGCCGGCCCAGTCTTCAAAGTCAGGAGACTGTGCAGAGGCAAAGTCCAGATAAAAACGCATGGCCGCGTCATGTATGCCAAAGGTCGAGTCCTCGGACTCGGGGCTGTTGACAGCTGTGTCTGAGTACGCCCAGCCTACCACGTTCTCGCCACTAGGATCCAGCTCTCCCGGGTTCGCGCCCAGGTCCCATTGGCTGCAGCCCTCACAAATATAGGTGCTGACCCAATGGGTTTCGTTCACAAAGGAGCCGTCGAGGATGCGGACGGTGGCGTCCTCATTGGCTTGAGGAAGCGCGTAGGAGCTGTCGGTGTCACAGACTGAGTGAGGATGGTCATGGACCGTTGGGAACTTACACTGCCACGCGTGACGATACGACCGTAGTGTCTTGATTGGGCCATGTCACCGTCAAAGGCACGTAGGTCATGCCAGGCCCGAACGCGAAGCCAACCCATCCCGTCTCTACCGGCGCAGTGACCTGGAGGATCACTGAGAAAGGCGCCGCTGAAACTTCAGGAATAGCGACACCAAAGGTGATGCCTTGGTCGTTCGTGTAAGAAGAGAAGCATCGGCCCAGCTCATCGCAGTAGTTGGACTGGGCGGATACTGTGTGCGATTTGTTAGCCCATGCCTCGTCAAGGTGAAGAAGCAGATAACTCACCCAAACTTGCAAGGAACGCAGCCCCCGTCGCAAAGAGCGTCCTGCGCATTATGGAGGGCAAGGAAGATGAAGGTGATATGATGTGGAAACAGCACAGCGCTGTCTACAACAGCGGGCCCCCGGCCTTATACACCTTGTGTGCAGGTATGTCCATAAGACATGGTGGGCTATAACACGAGTCTATTTAACACATGGTACGCCGTCCCTCCGTCCGTGCGCCCTCATGCTCGCACATTCCGCATACCCCAACCAGGCAAGTGGCAAAGGTGTCTGTACATTTTTCCCGGACATATGTCGCATTTTCTCGACGTGTAGAGTAGTGACGCGGGCATCATGGGATCTGTGGGTATGCAGGTACGGCACATGCGTACGTCTGTGGCTTCAGCCCCTCAATCTTGACTGTCGAGCCTTGCTCTAGGTGTCCGCCGAATAAGCTTAGTCGACAGCTTTCCACCGCGTGATGCCCGCCGCTGTTGATCGTCGACGGAGTCAACAGGAGGAAGGGTGTGGATACACACCATGTACATCATCGCCTGCGCTTCAGAAACTACATTTCCGACGGGTTGCGGTCATCCTGGCAATCGTCAAGAGGTACACTTGAGCCCTCAAGGGAGCCTGCCGCCAAGCTTCTGGGTTTCCCGCACGTTGAAACAGAGTTTCCCTCAACTCCAAGGGCCACATCATGTTGGTCATGCTGAGCAAAGCAACGAGCTTAACCAGGATAGGCGTCTCGGACCGAGCGACGTGACATCAGATTGCTGTCCACTGTCGGGCACCGTAATGTACCACTTCAGAAAACACGCAGGAGCAGGGAACGTGATGGATAAAGCGGGCGAGGGCGAGGTCCGAACAGGAATGTGACACGGCGTGCTTCCGTCCGAGTATCGCCAAAGATGGCACCGTCTCGCCGATCACTTTGGCCCACGATCGATCACTGGGAATAGGGCGTGAAACTGCCCGCCTGACGAGGGTGCGTCATGTACGTACCAATCTCGAGGGCCATCACGTTGTTCGTGAGTGATCATGGTGCTGCCAGTGGTTCAAATGTTGAAACGCTGGCTTGCGCCAAAGGACAATCCCCGAGGCACGTGACTTCGCGTCCATCTCTCCAACTCCCACAGCTGCCGACGGCTCGGCTGTCCCAGTCGCGAAATCTTATACACGTCCCTCCCAACTGCTGAGCTGAATACGAACATGGCGCCTGGTCGCAAGGCCAGATCTCCCCAGCCAAGTCGCCCGGCAAACACCCTGATCCTCGACAATGGCGCCGCCACACTGAAAGCAGGTCTTCTCTCCAATCCATCCACGCCGCCGCTGGTCATCCCCAATCTTGTCGCCCGCGATCGCCTCCGGAAGACATACGTTGGGTCGGAAGCGAGCTCGATCCGCGACACCTCTGATCTCGCCCTCCGCCGACCCGTCGAGCGTGGGTCGATTGTGAACTGGGAAGTGCAAAGGGAAATCTGGGATCGAACATTTCTCGATACTGGCGCGCCGCTGCGCTGCGACCCCAGCGAAACGAGGCTGATGTTGACGGAGCAACCGAATAATCTGCCAGCGCTCCAGGCCAATTGCGACCAGATTGTGTTTGAGGAGTATGGCTTTGCAAGCTACTATCGTGGCGTTGGCTCCACGTTCAACGCCTACCACGATGTGCAGACTCTTTTCCGTACCCCCACGGACCATCCAACCGTCGCCAACGCGCCAGCCGAGGTTATGCTCGTCGTGGATTCGGGCTACTCGCACACGACCGTCACACCCGTCCTCGCGGGTCGAGCCGTTCATTCGGCCGTCCGGAGACTCGACGTGGGCGGCAAGCTCATGACCAACTACCTTGCCCGTCTCCTCTCGCTGCGGCACTTCGACATGCGCTCCGAGACCTTCCTCGTCAACGAGATCAAGGAAGCCGCGTGCTACGTGTCGCCCGATTTCAGGCGCGATGTCGAAAGTTGCTGGAAAGGCACACGGGGCGAGAAACGGGCAGAATATCTTACGGGAGGCGGCATCGCCAAGGACTACATCCTACCCGACTTTCACACGCGATGGAAGGGCCAACTCGTCGACTACGACCCCGCGCGGCACTCCAAGAGCAAGAAACTGGCCGGCAGCGACGAGGACGCCCTGACGCTTCGGAATGAGCGCTTCTGCATACCGGAACTCGCATTCAGTCCTTCCGACATGGGCATGCGCCAACCTGGGCTCCCAGACCTGATACACCAATCACTTCAGACCTTGCCAGTAGGGCTTTGGCCTGGATTGCTAGCGAACATCCTGGTGGTGGGAGGCAATGTCTTATTTGATGGGTTCATTCAACGTCTACAGAAAGAGGTCGTCCAGCGCTTCCCAGATGATTGCGTGGTGCGAGTTGCCAGACCAGCAGACCCCATTACCAGTACCTGGCAAGGCGCGGCTATTCTGGCGAATCACCCCCATATCGAGAAGCTTGTCGTCACAAAGAATGAATACGATGAGCTGGGGGCTTCGCTCGTGGCCCGGAAATTCGCCCAAGGTTTGGGCGCAGGCTGAAAGATACCAAGCCATTAGAACCGACGCCTCACAACCGGCCAAGACCCCGTCCACGCGAGGTGCACCCTAGCTCACGTCAGTATGCGAGTTCGGAAGGACGACAGCTTGCCGCTGGGCAGGAACTACTAGGCTTACAGTCGCACTGCATGAACGTCAGTACTCTATCTCGCAGAGCCTTGGCCTTCAACTTACATGAGTGAGAGTGCATCCCTCATTGTGAGTGACGCAGTATCCGCCACCACAGCGTCTGCACATTCGTTGGGTGTCGTCGATGCAGGATTCGCACTACATGCGGTCAATTCCTGTACTGCACAAACCTCATGGACCGCTCTTCAACTTACATTTTGTCCGCATTCCCAGCAGCTTTTGGTTACCAGGGACTGGTATCGTCAGCATGGGTCCTCTATCACGACACACTCATATTATTCCGCTCCACAACGCGAGCGTCCCTCAAGTGGTGCATACAAATCCAGTGCAGGCAAGGCGCAGCTCACTCGCTCACACGGTGAACTTGATACACTTGCGCCTCGTCACCTCGCGGATCCCATGGCGACTCCCTGTTTTCTCGTACACTCAGAACAGAGACCCTCTCGTACCTTGGGTTTAACAATAGATACTCTACTACCCGAGTACTCGCTCATAGTCACCACGCCGTCGTCATCGAGTGCGGTCACTGTATCGGTCTGGTTGACGCTGTGACTCGGCGGCGTGTAGCACGACTCGCACCACCATTTGTTGCACCCCGTACAAAAGCGATCATGCAGACATTGCTTGCATCGTACTGTGAAAGACTGCGCCGGCTGCATCGGCGTGGTCGCAGCGCGCAAAGACGATGATAGTATCGGGGCTGGCGAGAGCAGTGGGAGCCGATGTTGCGCTCCTCTTGCTTCGATCATGCCCTCGGGGCTTCTGCCACAACCCTCGCAAGCGGAGAGGGCGAATATCGCAATCTCTGGTTCTCCTGGACCTTTGGCGGACACCTGACCGAAAGCGGGCGAGTTATAATGGCGCGGCCCTTCGCATAGAATGGCGTCAAATGCGATAATGCCCTGGCAGGCGAGCAGGCAGGTAGCCCAGCCGTCCATGTCTCGCTTGGGACGAACCATCACGCCTTTTTGATGCCACCATGCGTCGCCCTCGCTTTCAAGAGAGCTTGTCAGCGCGCGCTGACTCTTTTGGTTCCATTCCGAGCTGATGTTTCGTCTCTCAGGTGGGTCGACGGACGCCTTCGCCATATCCTTCGAACCGAACACATACAGCGCCTTGAGACGCGGTGTGCCCTCGGGCCGCGATGGGCGACAAGCGTACTGTAGCGTTTGGCGTAGCTTGCCGTGGTTGAGACTCTTAACCTCACGAATCGAGAGGATTTGCACGCTGTAGCATGCGTGTTGGATGATGTCGTTGCATAGTTCAGCGGTGACAGACAGGCCATCGAGCACCAGAGTTTGGACATCTTGAAGGATATTTCTCCGCAGGAGACACGAGAAAACCCCCCTCAGCGGCCCGGAATAGAAACTATTGCCTCAATCAGCTATGCGCCACGTGACGAGTGAAATTAATAAGACGCACTCATCCTCGGTGAGATTCTCATCAAGCTGGACATTGCGCCAAACTTGACTGCCCTGGTCAATCGCAGAGGTGTCAAACTGCAAAGTGCGCAACTTTGAAATGTCAAGGTATCTGAAGATACCAGGCGACTCGTACACGAGAGATCGATATTCGCGGTTCACGGACGCTAGGTTAAGAAGGCTCGAAACGGGCAGATACGCAACAATATTCTCGAGAACGAGGCGGTTGAGCAGAAGGTCCAGAAGATCTACTTCGTTGTTGTGTACCAGACTAGTGGTGTCGGAAAGCGTTGCGTGATTTGCGACGGTGGCCTCGAGCATGTCAGGCTGTCCTGTTCAAGGTGACGCGACAGAAAAGGCTCCGAGGTTGAAGGCAGCTGTGGCGGCCAGTCAAAACGACGATGGGTGGTACGAGGTCGCTAGAGAATCTATAATGGCGTGTTCGCGGTTTATATCATCAAGTATGAGGCAATGAAAAATATTTAGGAGCCGCCTTAGACGCGGCAGGCCTGGGTCATGGTCATTTGTGGGATGCTGGGACAGATGTGAGGCTGAGGTTTGTCGTACGGGCAGAAGATGAGCCCAGGTCTAATAAGTAGAAGTGATGGGTCATGATCTGATCCGACAAGGGAGGGAGTTGTAACTAAACCTGAAGGCTGGACCGGTCAGGAGTGGTGGTGGTGGCCTGAGGAAGAAAGTGCCATTGCATGAAGTCCAAGGCTCACAAGTGATGTGCGACATGGAGTTTTGGTGAAGGAACGCCCGGGGACCTTATCGCCGCATCCCATTGGGGGAAGCTGGAACGGCGATGAGAGGTTCTGCCAGTGGTCACTAAATGGTGCTCGGGACGTAATGCGTTTACATTCGAGCCAGTACACCTGTGGTTCGCACCCCCACGCACACTTGTACGCTTCTGCAAGCCACGTTGGCTGCTTGGAATAGTAACAGTACACAAGACACTACTAATTACACAGCAAGCCGTGACTCGGTGTCGTGAATAACTTGTCTTTAAATCGGATGCCCTTTTACCGTAGGTGATACCATCGCCATGTCGAAATCAGCTACGTCATGAAGACATCGCTCCGATCGCGGAGTACGTAGTACGAGACCACTTACCCTGTGCTAGACTTCGAAGGGGTCTATCCGTAGAATGGCTTGTACTCCGAAAAGATGACTTAAACCAACCATTTGTGACCTGACATGTCCTGATACGGTTTCCAAAATGCTCTCAACCACAGTATCGTCGTAGACCTGTAGATGTCTACGGTACACACAGCGTTATAGTCCAGCGGGCTCAGTTACGAAACCATGCCTATTTAAATCCCTTCGGAGTACGAAGAAAGAAGACTTTCACCGCAGACCGGACCGTAAACAGTGCTCTACTTGCCCATGCAAAACACAGAACACATCCCCATGTTACAAAAAAAAAAAAAAAAACAGCCTTTAGCCTGATTTGCGTGACCGGTTGACACCTAAAAGTAGTTTGGCATCATCGCGTGCTCACGTGGAGGGGCTTCAAGGATCTAAGAAAACCGTCCAGGAGATGTGTGTTGTTTTCGGAAATGCAATAGCAAGGCCGCTGGCTTCATTCATCGTCCTATTCAAACAACCAGGAAATACAGATGTGGTCACACGTGGCAGCCGCACGTGACCTATTTTGACCAATGTTGTTGATGATTATCGTGGAATCCCGCCGAACCCGCTGAGAAATCCGTGATGAACCCAACGCCTTCTCCGGACGACATGTGTATGACCATGCCTCGACGCCCCGACACCACCGACATCTCCCCCAAGCCACCCTGAAGCAAACTTCCTCAACGCACACAATCACTGATGGACATCGACACACCAGCACCGCAACTGAGGTGGTCAGGCAGCTTCGACGTCATCTCACCAGCCGCCATCTCCTCGAAGAACTTGCGAGGCGATAAGATCCTCCTTCCACAGTCGGCCCTCGAGCAACTTCTTGCAGCCGCCCCGTCGAGAACACAATATACTTCAACATTTACGTCGCGCGATCGATTCAATCCCTACGCCGCGACCAGTGGTGCGCGGTCAAATTACGACGATAGTCAGCAATTACCACATCCCCTGACGTTCCGACTGGTGAATCCGAAGAATAATCATGTGGTATATACCGGGATACGCGAATTCTCTGCGCCCGAGGGTTGCGTGGGACTGAGCGCATATCTTCTTGAGGCACTGGGTATTGACGAGAAAGACACTCGTGGAAGTGAGGAAGGATCGGGGTTTCAGATTGCGGTGCACGCTCACCAGCTACCAAAGGGCTCTTTTGTGCGATTACGGCCCCTCGAAGCCGGCTACAATCCGGACGATTGGAAATCTTTGCTCGAGCGTCAACTTCGCGATGGCTTCACAACACTCACCCGCGATGCGATACTACCCGTACTTGGAGTACAGGGCGAAACTTTCAAGTTCTTAGTGGACAAGGTTGAGCCCGAAGGCAATGGTATATGCGTTGTTGACACCGACGTTGAGGTCGATATCGAGGCGCTCGACGAGGAACAAGCACGCGAGACGCTCAGGCAAATCATGTCAAAGGCGCAGCCTGGCAGCACGCAGAGCACGTCCAAAGGAGGGGAGCTGGACATTTGGAAAAGTGTGCAGGCTCAGGTATTACCGGGTGAATATGTCGACTTCACGCTGCCCTCTTGGAACAGGACGCAACCGCTGGAGCTGGAGCTGTCAGACGTCGCGAGCCCAGATGTGCTCGACCTGTTTGTCACTCCGCGGTCGGCACAGAAGCGTGGTCTCCCTCGTGAAACTGCCCATGTCTTTGGGAATTTCGACCCGGCAATAGATGGCACAAAGTCGATCACGATCTCGCCGACCAACATAGAGATACAAGATGCAGAGTCTCTTCTCATAGCGGTGCACGCGTATGCTGACCCAGAAGATTCTGGCGAGCAGCAAACACCCGTACAATTCACGATTCGAGCGCGTGCTGCTGAGGCCAAGGACTCTACCACAGACAGTTCAGCGTTGAACAGAAGCATGCAGGAGCATTCTCCCCACGATGAGCAATGTAAGAATTGCCTTCAATGGGTACCCAAGCGAACGATGGTCCTGCACGAAAACTTTTGTCGACGTAACAATATCATCTGCCCCCAATGCAAGTCGGTCTTCAAGAAGGGCTCTGATGAGTGGCAAACTCACTGGCATTGCGAGTTGGACGAGGCACACGGCAATTCCACCTTCAGCAAGAAGAAGCACGACGCGATCTTCCACGGACACAGGCAATGTCCGTCGTGCGACTTTTCGACGAACTCGCTGTCGGATCTGGCGCGGCACCAGACGAGCGTCTGTCCCGGCAAGCTCATCTTGTGCCGCTTCTGTCATCTAGAGGTTCCGCAAGAAGGCGACCCCATCAACCCGTCACCCGAGGTCGTCCTCTCCGGAATGACGGCTCATGAGCTGGCTGATGGCGCACGCACGACAGAGTGCCATTTGTGCGACAAGATCATCCGGCTCCGTGACATGGAGACGCATCTGAAGCACCACGAGCTTGACAAAGTGAGCCGTGCCAAGCCAGAAATATGTCGCAACGCGAATTGCGGACGTACACTACACGGAATTGGCCCAAAGGGGCAAATTGGCACCGGAACAGCGCATGGCCAGGGCCCAGGCAACGACATTGGCTTGTGCTCCATCTGCTTCGGGCCACTCTATGTCAGTATGCACGACCCTGATGGCAAAGCCATGCGTCGTCGCATCGAGAGACGCTATCTGGGCCAATTGATGACGGGGTGCGCAAAGAAGCACTGTGGCAACGAGTGGTGCAAGACGGGACGAGCAAATATCAACCTGGAGCCCAAGGGCACGACCGCCGCTGCCGCCTTGCCGCTGGTCAAGCCGTTGGTCAATGAGATTGCGGATCCGAAGGCGCCCATGTACTTCTGCGTGGATGAGGCCAACCAGACACGGCGGACGGTAGCCGAGATGATCGCCGCCGAGCGAGTCTGGGAGTTGGAATGGTGCATTGCGGCTGCCGAGGCCGAGAAGGGGAATCCGGATAGGATGCGCGAGTGGCTGCAAGCGTGGGCGCCTAGAGCGATATAGATGGGCTGGTCGTCGGTGTCAGGCGTTGGAGGCAGGGCATGGTATCTAGCCGCTGCTATAATGATAGAATTCCAAGGATAGTATGCAGACGGGAGTGCGGCTCTTGCGGCGTCAGCGCCCCTAATGATATGATTGAATCACCAAGCCGCGTGTTGCAATGGTGTGCCATGTGTTATGTATCCCACGAGCCATGTTCTCTCCAATGTTGATGGAGTTACTTGTCCATGTAGATTGTTTTCAAATCATGCTGGATCGCTCAGGACCTTCTGCTAGATAGTGATCACTGTGAACTTGATTCACTGGCATGAGTACGTGGATAGACAGCCGCCCCCGTATGCTCTTACTCATATCCAGCCGAGAACATCAGGATCGGTCGGAGATGCGCCGAAGCTCTCTCCTACTTTCACTTTGATCCCGCGTAGGGTTTAATACGCGAACACTCGCATAAGAAGACGACTCCTTGGTCCGTGTTTCAAGACGGGTCACTGACGACCATTACGCCAGCACTCAGCATCCTTGCAGACAAATCTCCAGCCATGCACATGACCGCGTGGTTCAATGATGATACGGCCGCATTCATCACTTGTTCACTACAACAGTTAGGAATGGCTTTTTCACTATCTCCACACGCCAGGCGAGTAATTAATCCGGTCACGCGCTTGACCAGAGCATCGGCGGAGGATGCACCTCCGTAGGCCGTGGCAGCAGCCCCTCTCCACGATCGACGACTGTAAGACGCAGGCGTAGGCATTTTTTGTGCCCCGAAAGATCTGTTAGAGAACTGCCGCTTCTGTAGATGTGGAGAAGAATCTCCATCCTCGGATTGGCTGTCCTGGTTACATCTACCGAACGACCGCTGCCCCCTCGCTTCTTACCCCTGACCACACCACATGCACCCTACATCCACGAAAGAGATGAGAGGGCGTTTCCCCTCATAGCGGTTTTGTTTCAGCAGGGGAAAAGCAAACGGAATGTGTCGTTTGCCGAGGTGACACAGTTCGTTTTGCTGTCAGTTCATGGACTCCACGGACAACGTGTCCAGAAAGTGTCTTTAGTCGACCCAACTTGATCGGAGGAAGTAATACACTTATGACCACGTCAAAGGGGTTTCCATGTTTGGATTGACTACTTCCTCGTGCCCCCGATGTGCAACATGTGACCTAAGAATCTGGCAAGATCGGCGTAGTCATGGCCTGCGGCAGGGCTCACGACCCGGGTCGGTCTTCCTACGCGCTTGCTTGCCACCGGTCTGGCCATGTCTCACCAAGGCGTCCGTGCCAGTTTTCCCGCCAGCGGCGGCCCGGATCGCGACGCTGAGAGCTTCTTTGTCTGCAGATCCGGATAGTGCGCCTCCTTTTGGCAAGCTTGTGGACACTTCCAAACTCCTACGTCGAGCTGTGCCTCCGCTGTATAAATAACAGTCCTCTGCCCAATCCTCCAAGTGTAGTCAGTTCCAGACCACCTCAAACACCATACTCTTCTTCGGCGACACATTTTGCACCATTCACAATGTTCACCATTGCGGCTCTTTCCCTTATTGGGGGGGCTATTGCTCAACAGGTCGGCACCAATGAGCCTGAGGTTCACCCTTCCATGAGCTGGAGCCGCTGCTCCGGCTCCGGATCGTGCCAGAACGTCGACGGCGAGGTTGTTATTGACGCCAACTGGCGCTGGATACATCGTTGTATGTTCTCTCGCCATGATGGACGGAAAAGTTCTTACTAACAACGAGCAGCGGGTGGTTACAACAACTGCTACGACGGCAATAGCTGGACCGATGCCTGCAGCAGCAACGAGGACTGCGCTGAGAACTGCGAGGTGGAGGGTGCCAAGTACCAGGAGACCTACGGGGCTTCTACTTCTGGTGACTCTCTCACCTTGAGCTTCACAAAGGACAATGCTTCGGGCAAGAACGTCGGCTCACGCCTCTATCTGATGGCCGATGAGAGCAGCTACGAGATGTTCGACCTCATTGGCAACGAGTTCAGCTTCGACGTCGACCTGTCGACCGTCGCATGCGGCATCAACTCTGCGCTCTACTTTGTCGCCATGCCCGAGGATGGTGGCTCCAGCGACTACCCAACTAACACCGCGGGTGCCGAGTACGGTACCGGATACTGCGACGCGCAGTGCGCCCGCGACCTCAAGTTCATTGCCGGCCAGGCCAACTACGAGGGCTGGGAGGCTTCGGACAGCGACGCCAGTGCTGGTGTCGGCCAACTCGGCTCCTGTTGCGCCGAGATTGACGTCTGGGAGTCCAACTCGCACGCGTTCGCCCTGACCCCCCACGCCTGCGAGCTCGGCTACAACGACTTCCACGTCTGCGAGGGCGACGAGGGCTGCGGCGGCACCTACTCCCCCGAGCGCTTCAACGGCCACTGCGACGCCAACGGCTGTGACTTCAACCCCTACCGCCTGGGCGTGACCGACTTTTACGGCGAGGGCAAGACGGTCGACACCAGCAAGCCCTTTACCGTCGTGACCCAGTTCGAGAACAACGCGCTAAACCAATTCTTCATCCAGGATGGCCAGCGCATCGAGATGCCCAACGCCAACCAGGACGGCCTGCCCGAGACCAACGAGATCAAGCCCGAGCTCTGCGATGTCCTCTTTGACGTCTTTGACGACTACGACCGCTACACTGAGGTGGGTGGATGGACCGCCATGCAGGAAGCCCTGTCCAAGCCCATGGTGCTCGTCATGTCCATCTGGGCGGACCACTACGCCAACATGCTCTGGCTCGACGGCCTGTGGCCCCGTGGCGCGGACCCTTCCATCCCTGGGGCTCTCCGTGGTGACTGCCCCGTCGACTCGGGTGACCCCGACGAGGTCGTCGCCAACCACCCTGACGCGTAAGTTTGCCCCTGAAATTGTGATGTGAGCAAAAGATCTAACAAACCGACAGTTACGTCACTTGGTCCAACATCCGCTTCGGACCTATCGGCTCCACCACTTAAAGCGACCCCTGAAAAAGCACTCGACACACTAATTAGCTTGCAATTCAAGTGCCGGTGCAGGCGCGGGTGCTTGGCTCGCTAGTGTGATCGAGAGGGAAGAGACAATCGGGATACTGAAAGCATTCATGTGTATATATATATATTGGCACGCCCATCACTTCCTGTTGTCGATGGGCGCGCGCTCTCGGTCACGCCGTATATGAGAGGTCAATGAAACATATGGTCGATAGTGTATCGTGTTGTTACCCTTGATATGTGAGCATGACCTGTAATGTAAAGCTTCAGCTAGGCCGGCAGCCAGGCTCATGGTCAGTGGGCCTATTTGCGTGTCGGCAATGGGACCTGGACCGGGCCGTGGGGTAATCTGGGCTGTGGCTGTGGCTTGCCACAATGTAATCACTGAAATATTCGTTCAAAGCACTCACGTACGTACTGCAGATAGTAGCTATGTAGGATTTGTATATGATGCGTGTACTTGTATAGAGTTTGGTTGTTCTTGGTTGAGAAAGTATGCGTAAATGGTCCAGTCGTAGAGGCACCCAAGCAATGGATCGTTACTCGGTGAACAGTCAGAACGCATGGGCAACGTTTGTCCGTGCCGTGATCATCGCTGCCTCGCATTGACCTCTCCATTGGGCAGTCCAAGTCCATGTCCATATGTTGTATGTTGGGTTCAAGTTAGGTGTCAATCATTCAGTGCTTGTCTGGTTCTGTCGGGACCTACTTGAGGCTTGTCCAGTTCTAGGCCCGTTCTCGGACCAGGCGCAAAGTGGCTTGACCGCAAACAGCCACGAAATGGGCGCCCTGATTGGCTTTGAGTAGCCTGCGATGAACTGGACTCCACTAGGAACGGGCCAATGACCACCGCTCGCTTTACCCGGCAGGAACGACACGAAACTGGGCAACAGTGAAGTCATCTGCGGGCATTGATTATGTTGGCAGGTGCACCCTTGAAGCATGGCATTTGGTCGGGCTGCCTACACCCAAGCTGAGCTTTTTTTTCTTTGCTTCTTCTGTGAGTGAGGATACTGCATCTCAGTCCACGATTTTGTGGTCAGAGTGATAAGAACTGGTTCAGGCCGAGAAGTGAGAGCTGGAAGTCCAAGCGCCCAGTTACCCAGTAGCCCAGTCCGGGTACCCGGTAAGCACAAGCGTGCTAACCAAACGGCAAGCTTCAACGCTATAACGCCGCCCCCCCACGTCTTGTCCTCTTTAACCACGATTCCTCGATCCCAATATCAGTTCTCAGGAAATTCGAGTTGGCAGATACTATCGCCTATCCCGCCAAGTCCTGCCAGCTGCACGCGAGATTGGCCATTCACAATCCCGCTGGCTGGGATCGTCATTGCGTCAGCACGCTCGCCCAACCCAATCAGCTTAGCCGTCCCTCTTCATCCGTATCCAAGCAACGACGTTCCCGTCTTATCAGATTATCATAAACTCGCATCGATACAGTCAGCCGACACTCACCAAGGCTTTCGCCTTTGCCTCGCCAGCGCACTTATCGCAGCCCTAACGTATACTCACGAGGCGATACAGTTCTCCATGGGTAACTCATCGGCCAAAGAGTCCGGCGCCTCCGATAGTCCTTATGGCGCCGCTCGTCGTCGATCCGTCGCTGAGCCGTCGTCCCAGGCTATCGAAAACGATCGAAACGCACGCAATCGTGTGAGCAGAGGCGATCTGAGCTTTCTGGGTCTTGCGAGCGCCTCGAGCGGACGTGACACTCGCAACCGGGAGGATGCGCCCTTTCAGCACAAGGAGACCAAGGCCGAGCGAGAGGCGAGGAAACTCGAGCAGGAACGTGCCGCACGAGCCAAGGAACGTGAGAGGAGTGTCAGGGAGGAACATGTCGACGGCGGATTCCTGGTGACAATGGGCGTCTATACTGGCACCGAGGACTTCAGCAAGTCCACCGTGCGGCAACTCCAGGTTCGTTGTTTGCCTCTGCGTCTTGGCGTTGCGGGGGAATGACTGACATGCTGCCTAGATTGAGCGCAAAATCGCTCCATTTTGGCGTGGGTTGCAGGATTGGTCTGATAGCTGGGCTGAGCATCAAATCATTGCCGCCGCGCGAGGCCTCGACGTACCAGCCGCCGACGAGACACCCGACCCTGACCTTGTGCCTCGACCACCGCGACTCCAGTCCGATAGTAACCAAAGCCTACAGAATCTGACGGTGCCCATGGGGCCCAGGACGTTGTCAGCTGCCTCGGACCGTAGTGGCACTGGCGCCGCGACGCCTGCTGGCGGTCAGTCCAAGAGCGCCGCATTCAAGCCGGGTGGTCGAGCGAAAGCGATCGCAGCGGCCCTCACTGGCCACTCTCGTAACGCATCGTCTACAGATCTTGGTCCCAGGGAAATTAAGCTCCCTGATGATCCCTTTGTCAACGGCCAGGCTCTCGAGGTGTTTCTGTACAAGGATGCATCGGAATGCCCCATCTGCTTCCTCACCTACCCCCCCTATCTCAACAAGACACGATGCTGCGATCAGCCCATTTGCAGCGAATGTTTTGTGCAGATCAAGCGAGCCGACCCGCATCTCCCCGAGCACCACCCCAATGGAGAGGTGCGTGACCCTAACGAGGGCCTCAGTGCGAGCGACCCTCCCGAGATGCTGATCTCCGAGCCTGCGAACTGTCCGTACTGCCAGCAAAACGAGTTTGGTGTTACGTACGATCCGCCGCCCTTCCGACGGGGCATTGTTTACTCTGGCTCCACGTCGAATCTAGGAGCAGGCACAGCCATGTCCTCACAAAGCTCACTCCACGCGACATTGCCTGCTTCCGGGGGCTCACAGCCCGGACGTAGACGAGCAACTAGCTTGTCCGCCAACGCGCCCAATGTTATCACCACAGACCGCGTACGGCCGGATTGGGCTACCAAACTGAACGCGGCCCGTGCGCATCAAGCAAGAAGAGCGGCGGCGGCAACAGCTCTGCACACAGCTGCTTTTCTCGTCGGTGGCGAGAATGAGCAACGCGGTTCATCCTTATTACGCCCAGGGCGCTTCAGCCGGAGGAACACCGGGCGGGGCATGGCAGCGAGCGTGGAGGCTGACACTACAGCCGAGGGCGCTGACAATCAGCCTGAGGGTGAAGCCAGGGCGCAAGGTCCGCCAGGGCGGCGAAGAACGCGCATGGAAGAGCTCGAGGACATGATGTTCATGGAGGCTGTACGTCTTTCGCTGGCATCGGAAGAGGACCGCCGACGTAAAGAAGAGAAGGCCTACCGCAAAGATGCCAAGAAGCGAGAAAAGGAGCGAGAGAAGGAGGAGCGCAAGGCGGCCAAGAAGCAGGCTGCTAGTCCATACGGAGGTAGCGGCAGCGGAGGAGCCAGCGGCAGCAGCCTGTCGCTCGGAGGATTCGGACGCCGCCGGGGTAACAGCGCCGCCAGCAACCTGAGGATGGACGCGACCGTGCAGGGCGCGGCAAGCAAGAGCGGCGAATCTTCGCCATCAGCAAACGTCTTTCGAGACAAGACAGCCTCGAAAGAAGACGTTACTGGCGAGGACAAGGGAAAGGGCATTGACAGAAGTCTGTCCGACAGCTCCAATGCGGATGACGGTGCATTTCCCGGCTCTCTACCCATTCCCACCAGTCGTGGTGGTTCACACTTGCGCCAGATGAGCAATGCCTCGTCCGTCGGGTCCTCCCTTATCGACACGCCCACCGGCAGCTACACAGGGACCGGCACCGAGGGTCACGATCCTCGTGCTAGCGGCATGAGTGTCAACCAGAATGAGGACACGGACGGCACGGAACCCATGTTCAACTTTCGCAGCCTCGCCGAGATTGTCGGCGTGAACATTGATGACGGGCAGATGCGTCGTGATGATGGCGCGGACTCACCAGGCAAAGGACATCCGACAACCGGCCGTCCCCTGTCGCAGGTGGATGAGGATGAGGAGAAGGAGGAGGCCGCGGCCGAGCACGCCGAGCATGCCGATGTACGCCAATTGCCGGCCCCGAACGCCGCCATGTCGGCAGACGCGGAAAAGCTAAAGGGCACCTCGTCCCCGGACCTGGTCATTACCCCTGGGACGCCTACGGCTGAGAGCAGTGCTGAGCATGGCAAGCAGCTAGGCCACTCGAATCTCACGGGGCAGCCTCCTCAGACCACGATCTGAGGGGAAAGTTTGACAGGCATTGGATCGCAGCATAATGACGGTGTTGATTGGCTTACTGGTATTGGGGGGTAGAATTCTACGGCGTTTTCTGGATCATGGCGGTCTTCGAGGAGCGACCTTCACGTCTGTGCGTGGTGCGCTTCCTTCTTTTTTTTCTTTGGTACTACTGATCTGGGCCATCACATCTGGATTGGAGGGTCATGGCAATATGTATGATGTAGGTGCATAACTCAACAACAACATCGTCTACACGTGTACGGGAGACCTTGTAGCAATCGTCAAGACTGAATTTTTGTTTGAAACCTCCCGCCAGTACCCAACTAATTGGAGAAGAGCTGAACAGCATCAAGGATCTACGCCAGGTTGTTAGCATACGGACATGCGCAGGCACCGATTCGAGATACTCACGAAATTAGGACTCAGGAATCCGGAGCCGCCGCTCCCAGAGACAGCGGAGATTGTAACTGTGTTGGCACCACTCTTCAACGTGCCAGCAGGGATCGTCAGGTCGTATACCTACCCAGTCCTCGGTAGTCACCCCTCGTCACGCCGCGCGAGTCGATCTTGGTAGGCGCAGCAGGGACAGCGCCAGCCCAGCCATTGACTGTGGCCTGGGGTCTGGCGCCGGCAAAGCTGAGCGTGGTAGCGATACGCAGGGTCGTTGTGCCTGACGGCGCGCTGGCGAGGTTGAAGTTGATGGTCTGGGGGTTGTCGACGTCCTTGAAGATGGCCATGGCCATGTCGCTGTCCGAGGAGGAGCCGACTGTGTACGTCAGGGGGCCCCAGGCGGCCATGCGCGCGTCCGATGGGTGCATCCGCAGGAACTTGTCCGCGTTGCGGAACCCAAACGGCTGGCCGTCCAGCGTGCCAATCTGCAAGATGTAGTTCCTCGACGGCAGGAACGAGGCAATGTCCTTGGTCGCGGTGTTGCCCTTGGACACGCGGACGTCCGTCCTCGCGACCTCAAACTCGGTCTGGTAGAGCACCTGGGTGTACGTGCCGGGCTTCATGGTAGGCGAGGTGAACTGTCCGTTGGCAGCGGCGTAAGTCCAGCACTGGGCGGCGTTGTTGAACCAGTGGACGACGATGCTGTGCTGGGACGAGTCGATGCCCGAAGCACAGCCCGAGACGCGTCCACGGTCGGCACGGGCGACGTAGCCCTTCAAGCCGAGCTCGGACATCCATGCAGTGTCAGCTTCGCGGAGCTTGGGGATGCCGGAGCGGGAGAACTGGAGGTAGTAGGGTCCGTGGAGGCCGGTGCGCAAGTTTTCCGTCTGCACGTGGCCCGAGTTCATGTCTGGGATACTGGTCAGCAGATGGCGTCAACGACAGCCGGAGTGGCTCGCAAAATCGTACAGTTGAAGATATTGGTGGTCTTGGAGCCGACATTGTTGGTCTCAATGTCCCTGAAAAAGGGGCCCCCCGAGCTGGACTCGTACTGCGGCACGAGCATGCAGACGTGGATCATCTCAGGGCTCTCTCCCCAGACGCAGTGGGCGTCCTTGTCGCTAAAGCGCTCGGACGAGTAGAACTTGGAGCGTGTCTGGCCGTTGACCACAAAGATATCGGAGCTTTCCACGGTGGACGAGGCACCGCCGGTCGTCGAGACTGCACCAAAGGGGTGCTCATAGGGGAGCACGTCGGATCGGAGACGGGCGAGGAAGCGCAGCTCGCCGACACTAGGCTCGGCCGTGATGTGTGTCGCCAGGAAGATGGTGCTGTCGCCCTCGCGCACGACAAGGTACTGTGTCAGCGTGTCCGTCTCGCAGGTGACCTTGATCCATCGCGCTGCCGAGCCCGGAGCCGATGTGCGTGCCCTTTTCGGTGTTCTGGAGCTCGATGCCACGGTACTTGATGGAGTTGATGTCGCAGCTGGACCGGCGCACGCTGAAGGCAAGGGCGTTGGATGATCCCGCGTCCACAATGTAGTTGCCGCCGGAGGACGTGTAGCCAAAGGCGGCGAAAACGGGGGCCGCCAGGGCCAGGAAGAAGGAGAGGAGGATAAGCAGCCGGGCCATTCTGGAAAAGTCGACGTGACAAATGGATGCTGGTCTGGACGGACGACTGAGATCGACGGGGGCAGCCGTTATAGTTATGCGCCTCCGGATGGGCTCATGATGGATACGGCGCCAAGGACATGACAATTTGAAAGCCGGTGGCCGCGTGTTTCAAACCGTTTTCCACCAGTCAGTCTCCTGATGCTGACGGTCGCATTCTCCATCGAAGGCTGGACGTTTGGAGCGACGTCTCCCTAAGCGCAACCAGCTTACTGGAGGGAATCCGTAGTCTATTTGGCCACGGCACTCGGATTGCCGTGGCAGCATTCGAAATCATGACTCACGAGCAGACACGCGATACCTAAGGAGGCGTTGTTCGGATGATGGGGTCGCAGGGTGCTGCCCAGCGGTGGAAGTGTTTCCGATGCTCGTTTTGGGACACTGCGTCGACTGTTTCAGTGTTTCTCCCCCGGCACTTGTCCCAGACACTGTTCATAAGGGTCAAGAAAAAAAAAGGCGGCATCACGTGTAAAGTAATGAATGCCTATGGTTAGTAGGTATCGATAATTCAACATATTTACACTTGCTGATCACCCGCCTACACGTGGTCGGTGCAGATCGTCTTCGACAACATGTCTTGTCCGGCCAGGATCGGTCGAGGCACTGGCAGGCTACACGACCATTGCTTGGGTTTCTGTCGGCTGTCCGGCTCCCAGGCTTGCGTGAAAGTAAATCCATTGCCAGACACTGCTCATGTCAGCGATTCGTGGGGCCAAAGAGTCATCCGCTTGTGTCTGTCTGCTCCGGGACGTCCCCAGCCCCGATTACTGGTCAAGTCCGCGTTCTGACCAGGTGAAGCGGTCTACGCGAGTTCGTAGTACTCCGTACTTGGGTGTTATTACGGCCTGCTCTTTGCCTGCTCGGCAACTAACACTACGCACGTACATGATGGAAGATAGGTGGCTGATGTCAAAGAGGCGATCATGAAGGCCCCCGATCTGCTGAGCGGAATTTCCATCAATACAGGTACATACGTATCTAGTCTAGTTGGCTTGTCCACTGCCCGCTAAAATAGATTTGCTTATCACTTAACCGTGATACTCTCCCTAATTGCCTGGACTCTGATCAAGTACTACCAACAAGCCTCTGCCTTCTTGGCCCGGCGACTTTGCATGACGCTATATACTGTGCATGAATCCGAGCTTAATACGTACCGCATGCCGGATACCCGCACTTCATGAAGCTTTGGCCAGTGTCCGCATCGTCGACATCGGTCTAGACTCTAGACCTTGGGCAGTAGATGATGTCCCAGGTGAAGTCTCGGCGTGGCTGAAGCTGAAGGAACTTCAATTGGGTCGTGTATATGACTACTGCGGGAGGCGCGGAGAAGAGAACTTGAAGGCGGTATTGGTGAATGAAGGTATCGACATATCGAGGCACACGCGTAAGACAGCGCTCCACTAGAGAGAGTTTGACACCATCATGGTGTGCATGATTGTTACGAAATGATGACCCTGCCCAGCCCCTTCTTATCAGGCCAAGAGATATTACGCTCCTGTCTTTGAACAGAACGAAATGCCTGGCGGTAAGTGACGCACAAAAGAAAGCGACCGCCCACCTCGGGCGAATTTGATGTGCTCTGATTTCGTAGTCTGGGCTGTACGCAGCGGATGAAACTAGAGCTGCCCGTTTCTTTGGGTGCTAATTAAATGATTTTCGAGTCAGGGCTGTCATCAATGTAGCATCGCTCATCGTTACCAGAACCGCATTGGCTCGTGGCGCAGAGCAGCTGGCATGATGAACGGAGGCCTCAAGAGTTGCTGGGATCCTCATTGCTACTGTACGTACTACTGGGGCCAATGCCAACCTGGGTCAGGCTCTTTGCTCTCTTGAGCGCGATACTGCTCGATTGCGAATTGAAGCCAGCTGTGAGCGAGCTAGGCTGGGAATGGTTTTGCCTCGATGATGCCGTCTTGCTCAAACCTTGATTGGAATGGCAGCCACGCTCTGACCAATATGGGCCACCACACCACAGACCGACGATCTTTTGATTTGCTCAGGAAGCAGACCAAGGCTTGGCGGGATGTGGGTTGAAGCCCTGAAGTGCGGTTCGGGAAATGGGAGGTCACACCCGGTGGTGTTGAGGTGAGGTGACGTTTTCAGGGCCTGCCACGGTGCTGGAGACTGGAGTGCAAATCATAGCGGCCTTGGCCCCCTGACGACCGCTAACTGGATCCGCCTCAGGCGAACCGTGACGAGGGTCGACCAATCACTCAACGATGTGACCTGGGCAGCGCTGGTAGGAGCGGGGGCTTAGCAGCGGCCACCTCATTATCCGCCTTAATTTACGGAGCAACAGACTGCCAAAGACCTCTGTTTTTTCTCCCGGAGACCAGGAGTCTGGCCGCCCCCGCTGGCTTGGCTTGTTAGTTGCTGTACGCCGGGAAGGCGCAGTCCAGCCGACTGGAGTCCCGTCGTCTGCTCGACTTCAATCATCAATCAATCTGTGATCAACTGCCTCCTTACCAGCTACGTACAGCATCTCACCACCTCACACTGCTCTGCCCGCTTTTCCAAGTCCCATCCGCCGCCCTCCTGCTGGTCCTTACCATTCTTCCCAGGCGCAGCCCGACACCTTCATCGTCCGTTGGCATCAATCACTCCCAGCCTCAACGCCTGTCGTCGCCGCCTCTGCTCGCGACACAACGACGCCCGATAGCCCACCCCCCTCTGTGCTGACGCTTCCCGACGGACCGACCTGCGATTGAACCAACAACACCATCGCTCTCTGAACCTCGACCAACCGACCGAATGCTATCGCTTGCCCTCTAGTTGCAATACCACTCGTTGAGAGACCCTGCAGCCTCGCACCGTCGTCAGCGGCGGGTTGCACGCCGACGCTGTGACGATTGCATCTTCGATTCCCACTCGACTTGCAAGGAAATAAACATGGACTCGTCCCGCTCAGCAGGCTCTGACGGCGGCGCAGACAGTAACGCACGCCGGCCGTCCACGTCAAGGTCGACGACCAACTCACTCACATACAATACATCCTGGAGCGATGAGTCTTACGACCTGGCCGATCTCACCGTCGCTGATGGATTTCGTCCAACCCAAGATTCGTTACGAGCACCGACCCCACCACCTGCATCACCACCTCGAGCCACTCTTCAGATACCCTCTGTCACAAGCCCACGATCGCAATCGCCTTCTCCGTCACACATATCTGTCGCGTCATCCTCGCGAAACCCTCCCCCACAGCTGGAGAGCACAGAAACCGCGGCCCCCGACTCCGGCCTGTCAATACCAGTGCCCCCGGCGCCAACCCGGCCTCGGCCTTCGAGTATATCAAAATCACATCGGCCTCATGAATCTCTAACCCTGCGGAACGAGGGCCGGCACACGCGCGAATTCCCTCTGACACCTAACCCTGCCGGGATCGCGTCTCTCGCAATCAGTCCTATCCCCCCAGCGCATCCAGCAGGGCCATCCCATCCCTTTGCGTCATATGGTCAGCGCACAACAGATGAATCCGCCACATCCTCTGGCGACACTGGTAGGGCTTCAGATTACAGTGGTCCCCGTGGACCAACACATCCATACAGCCTCTATCCACAAGGGACGGCACCGATGGAAGAGACCGACAATCAAACGATACCCGTTGGCTTCAACGGTATGGGAACCACTTATCAACGACAGATTGGTCCAGATGGAGAGGAGGTCGGTGATTTGATTGGGCCCGATGGGCATTTGGAAGAGCTGCCCCCCTACTCGAGATATCCTGAGCCAGCCAACGGTCGTCGTCCTTCAGCGGACAATGAAGACAGTCAGGTCAGCCCGGCGGGCGCTCAAACGGTTTTGGGAGACACCCCTCACCCGCAGGGAGCCCATGTGCTTGCCACGGCCGCTTTGGCGTCCGGGGCGGGAGGCATCGGGATCGCTACCCGCAACCCAGAGTATTCATCGACCGACGAAAACTCATCCGTCGACAGGTTTACGCGGAGCGTTGAGACTCCGGACACCAACCGTGGCAACATCAACGTCGCCGCCCGCGACTTTGCAGAAAAGCTGCCCGGTGGAAAGTGGCGGAGAAGAATGCGAAGGAAGTTTCTCGGCGTCATCCCGTACTGGGCCATCTGCCTGCTGGTGGTCGGCCTGATCATTGTGGGCATCGTCATGGGCGCTGTTCTGGGCATCTTACTGTCAGACAGCAATAAGAAGAAACCTGACGGTGACGAGTAAGTCGTATCCAACCTCGACCTTCGTCCCATACACGCTAACGTCTCTCAGGTCCAGAATCACGCTGGCACCTCAACCTACGGCTGATGTGGACTTTCTCTCTAGTCTACCCGACGGCCTGAAGCCTCTGCCAGTGGGCTTGTTTGACTTGCCCAGCCTAGATGCCGCCCAAGCTCCAAGAGCCTGTTTTAATGACACAACACAGGCCCAGGCTTGGACCTGCGAAATGCCCTTTCGCTACTACTCCTTGGAGATTGGCATGAACCCAAATGCATCCGAGGTGAAAAACTACAACATCCAACTCGAAGCCATCAATGGCTCCAATGCTGTATATGTCTGGGGAACGCAGCCACCAAACATCCCCGAGCCCGTCGTCCTCAGACTCGTGAACGATAGCTTCGAGCCTGGCAGGGGTCCGGCGTGGTGGCGAGAGGTCGCTTATGACAAGAGGGTCATCATATCCGAGGGGAGCTTTGACGCTGGTCACAATGACAAGCGTGAGTGGACGTATACTGGGGGTTCGGAGACTGGATTCAACCCGACACGGTTCATGAGCAGCAAACCAGGGCCAGCGGTTGGAGAGAATGCATGGATTTGCACATGGCCGAATGTGACGATGGAGATTTTCATCTATCCCAACCAGAACGCGAGCTCGCCGTACTGGAGCCCCTCGTCACCGACGCCGGGCACGTCGCCCACGTCGACCAGTGCAGCCGCCGCCGCCACTACGAGCCAAGTGCCCTACGATCCTACACCGGCCTATCCCAAGGTCGTCAAGTTTCTGGAGCGACGACTAACGGTGGACGATGATTCGACAGCAGCCATATGCGAGAAGGTCAAGATCGTGAATGGGGGCAAGAGCAGCGAGCCTGTGCTGGATGACGACGGCGAGCCCATTGCGGTCGTGGTCACGGAGAGACGAAGTACTGTGGAGGAGCTGCTCGAGCAGCAAGAACGCTCACGGCACCCGGACACAGACCCGGACCCCGAGGAACGGAGGCGAGCCGAGATCACCCAGGTGCTGCGGCGTGAATCACTGGAGCTGACAGACTGCGGCTGTCTATGGTGGTCGACATGAACTCTGCCCTGTTGGGCATCAACGCTCCCATCCTTCCTTTCTTCTTCTTTATATCCCTAAGTGTTTGAGCATTTCGAGGCCATGCGCGCCACATGTTCCTAGAGCGAATCTGGTGTAGGTATGACGGCGTTATTTCTGTACACATTATGCATTGCGGAGGGGCCAAGGACAAAAAGGGATTTAGGCTCTGGACTGGGCGGCAGACACATTTCGGTTCCTCACGGCCTGATTCCACTTCCCGTTTTGCATGATTGAATGAAGTCCAGCCAAGGGCAGGCTTGCTGGCAGGGTAGGCGGGAATTACTTTGTACTGTGTGACTTGGGCATTGGCGTTTCTGGGTAGGCTATGACAGCTTCATCTCCCGTCTAGATGCGCGCAGACTGTCGTCCTTCATAGCTAGAAGCGTAAAGAGACCTGATATTTTTTGACGCGAACGGTACGAATGGGCGTGCACGTGTAAGAAAGAACCTGCGATGGCATCAAGTGACTCTTGAGGTATCCATTCCTTGCACAAAACAACCCGCTAAGGATACAGATGGCAGCCGTGATGACAAGACGCGCTCAGTCAGGATGTCCTCGACACCACGACCTCCGCCTCCTCCGTCTCGCGAATCTCGTCCCCCACAATATCCTTCTTCCCGTCCCGAAAGTCGCGCATGAGTGACAAGAACATTGAGTTCTTCCACTTATCCCCGTCCTCATGCCGCACGCTGTCCAATAACCTCTCCGCGGCCTCGGAGACCTCTGATCGCCCCTTGGCCACCTCGGCCGCCGTTTTCTCCTCCTTAAATGGAGGCGTGCTGCTCTGCAAATGGCCAATCTCCTCACGGCGCAGATCCGTCAGTTGCGGACCCTGCGACTGCGCCGCCAGCTCGTCCTGCTCCTGGACGGCGTTCTCCGTGACCTCGAGGGCGCGGGCCATCTGCTCCATGACGGCGTCCACGTCCTCCATCGCCTTGGCGTTCTGGGCGGTGCTGCCGTGCTGCGACATCCACTTTGACATTTCCGTGTCAAAGTCGGTCTCGGCGGCAGGACGCTGGGCGTGCGCGGCCTGGGGGTCGAGGAAGCCCGAGTTTGTCGGTCCATACAGGGGGGACTGTTGGTTCTGGAAGCCAAAGGCGCCGGCCATGCGTTGGGTATGGAACATAGGTTGTTGCGGCATGTGCTGCTGCTGCTGCTGCTGAGGATGGTGTTGATGAGGTTGATGAGGTTGTTCTGACTGGGGTTGTTGAGCAAAGCGCGCAAAGTCGGCTGCCCAGCTTCCCATGCCAGCCGCTGGTTGCTGCGGCTGTTGAAAGTGAGGTTGATGATGGTGCTGATGAGGTTCCAGGGCGGCGGCATGGTTCGCTAACCGGGCGGCGGCGTGATGAGGTGATGGCCCTGACAGTTGCGAGGCACCATCCATGAATGCTGCAAAGTCATTTTGACTCGATGGACCTTGCGCCTGCTGAGAACGAAAAGATTTTCCTGCTGGCGTGTTGCTGACGAAGCGGTCCTGGTGGTGCGATGTGTTGCGCTGGTGATGGTCCACGAGGGACTTGAATGGGGACGGCCCCGAGCAAGACGCCTCAGCCATGGCGGGGGCGCTTTCTTACTGCGCGTGTGTTTGGTGTTTGTATGTGTTTTATACTTCTGAGTGTGGCCCTAGATGCTATGCTGTCTTGACTCTTTGTGGCGATGTTGCGAAACTACCTCGGCTCAAGAGGGCTGCGTGTAGGGCGCTGGTTCCGATGATGCGATGGCAGTTGACGGTTGGTAGTGCCCGCGCCAGGGTTTATGAGCAAGAGGAAGAAGTATGGCGCTATAGGATAGGATTATTAAAGGATGATGGACTGGACAACAGCCGAGTGAGTTGCGAGTCCATGTGATGATTAGATCAGCCTTTCGATGGCTCTGGCTGGTAACTGGTTCCGGGGTCGGCAGCGGCTCCACCACTGCAGAGAACACCGAGGGTAAGTGCGGCGCTGCCCAGTTCCCAACGTGGCAGGTGGGGCAGCATCCTCGGAGTCTTGCTTAGTCATTTGTAAAGTATCACGTGATAATATGATCAGCGGATGACAGTTGGCATGACCGAGACTGCAATCGATAAGGTACCTCCCCTTGAGGCAGGAGGCAAGCAGCCAGCCAGCCAGAGCTAGCTCTAGATCAAATCCCAGCATTGGACGCCGTCAACAACAACGTTTGCACTTGTTTTTCCTACCACGGGCGCTTATCTTTCACAATGGTTGCATCTCCTTCCCTCCGCTCTGCTGTGATCATCGCCAGCTAACAGTGCCAGTCCGCCCAGGTGATCTCCAACTCGGGTCACGATGACATGATTGTTCGTTCTCCTGTCTCCTGCCATTCGACCACGACGGCGGCTAACCACCCCTAGCACGATGCTGTTCTCGACTACTACGGCCGAAAACTCGCCACCTGTTCTAGCGACCGAACGATCAAGATCTTTGAAATCGAAGGCGAATCTCAGCGTCTAACCGAGACACTCAAGGGGTAAACAACACCCCGCCATGCAAGCGACGATTCTCTCCCGGCAGAAGCTGACAAGTTTACCACAGTCACGAAGGTGCTGTCTGGTGTGTGGCATGGGCGCATCCCAAGTACGGCAACATCCTCGCCTCGGCAGGCTACGACGGCAAGGTCTTTGTCTGGAAGGAGCAGGGCGCCCAGCAGGCCTCCAAATGGCAGCGCATCTACGAATCCTCCGTCCACAAGGCCTCGGTCAACATTGTCGCCTGGTCACCCCACGAGGCCGGCTGCCTACTCGCCTGCGCGTCGAGCGACGGAAACGTGTCGGTTCTCGAGTTCAAGGAGGGCGCGGTGGATAGCACGACGCTGCACGCGCACGGCCTGGGCGTCAACTCGGTCTCGTGGGCGCCCGCGCTGACACCCGGCTCCATCGCGAGCAGCAACCCCGGCCCGGGTGCCTCGGGCAACAGGCGCTTCGTGACGGGCGGCTGCGACAACCTGCTCAAGGTCTGGACGTTTGACGTGGCCAGCGGGACCTACGTGCAGGATGGTGAGGCGCTGGCGGGCCACGGCGACTGGGTGCGCGACGTGGCGTGGAGCCCGACGGTGCTGCAGAGGAGTTACATTGCGAGCGCCTCGCAGGACAAGACGGTGCGGGTCTGGACGTCGGACCAGGGCGGCGGCGCCAAGTGGGAGAGCAAGGTGCTCAACTTTGAGGCGCCCGTGTGGCGCGTCAGCTGGTCGCTGAGCGGCAACGTGCTGGCCGTGAGCGGCGCGGACAACAAGGTCAGCCTGTGGAAGGAGAACCTACGGGGCGAGTGGGATCTGGTCAAGTCCATTGAGGAATAGATGACGGAGGTCGATGCAGAGCACGGCGTTACGGAAGACAAAGATGCCCATTACGTTCATTTCCTTGATTGGAATTCATGCCTTTGTGTTTGCTTTGAACTCGTATGTAAGATACGTATATGTATTTGACGGAACCCAGGCGACTCATACGAGCAGCAGACCCACGACAATGGCCCCGAACGCAACGACTAGCCTAGGTTGCGTCAGGCTGACAGCAGCATCCTCTTCGTCGCCATCATCGTCGCCGCCATCCGAGCCGTCCCCGTTGTCACCACCGCCAGATGTGCGCTCCATGACAAAGATCTCGCCCGTGGAATCCGACGTGAACCACATCCTGCCGTCCGCATCCCAGGCCATGCCCACGGGGCGGAAGCACTCGTCGGGACAGTTACCCAGGTCAGGTGTGGTGAGGACATCCTTGGTGCCGTTACGGCTGTCTGAATTGGCCTCGGGCATGCCATCCGCGTTGAAGGCGACAGAGGAAATCTTGTAGCCGACAGGGTCCTCGCGGTTCCAGCTACCGTGGAACGAGACAAAGAGCTCACGGCCGTCCTGGGCAAAGAGAATGTCCAGCGGCGCCATGTGCGCCTGGAAAGTGAGGCGGGGACTGAGATAGTCCTCGTTGCAGGTCTCGTCCGTCTCGTCGCTGTTGTCCTCGTCGGGGAACTGGTCGCCGACGACGAGGTCGCCCCGGTCGGGGAAGTTTTCGGTGCCCCAGATGGCGTAGCACTCGGGGTAGCCGTAGTTGTTGTTGCCGAAGCGGGCGTCGGTGCCGTTGACGAAGCCGTGAAAGTTGAGCTCCTCGCCCGGGTTGTCGCGGTGAATGTCCTCGCCGTTGCGGCGCAGCTCGTCGACCGAGTTCTCGACGGACCAGAGGCCGCCGTGCGTGGGGTCCTCGGCCACGCCCACCGCGTTGCGCAGGCCCCAGCCCCAGACGCGGCCGTCCGTGTACTCGACGGGGTCGTCGCCACCCAGGTCCGTGAGGTTGAACCCCCGGATTTGCGAGTGGCCAGAGTCAATGTCCGCAGCCTCGTCGTCGAGGTTTGACTGGCTACCGCGCGAGACGAAGAGGGTAACCGGCTCGCTCTTGGAGAGCAGTAATGTCCGCGTGGTGTGGTCCGTGTTGGACATGTTGGTGATCAAGGTTGTGCGATCATCATTGTTGATGCTGCTGCGAGAGGCGTCATAGGGCCATGAGTAGACCTCGTTCTCTGTAGAGGCGTAAATGGTCTCGCCGTCCTCGGACAAAGCGAGGCCATGGTTGAGCTTGGGTCGACTTGTCAGTTCATGGCTCATTATAAAGATTCAGTGTGTGAGACTTACATCCTCGTTCTCGAGCAGAGTCTCCTTGTCGCCCAGGGAGAGACAGGTGCCGCCCTCGTCCTGGTCGATTCCGAATCGGTAGATGCCCTCGCCCGCATCGAGCACAATCAAATGACCATCCGAGTCGAAGAGGATGCTGCGTGGCTTGGTCAAGTCACGGGCGACAAGACGGTACGACCAGCCATCCGCGGCCTCGGGTGCAGGGTAGTCGACCGTGAGGTCGTTCACGCTGCAGGACTGCGCGTGGGCCGTCGCCGCCGCCGCTGCGAGGAGCAGACTTGTAGATCTACTGCCGGGAATCATGATGCTTTGATCAGCCTGCTGTGATTGACACGCGAGAAGAAAAGTGCAGGGAGATTGATGCAGTGTGTCCCTCGTGGTGATGGGGGCGAGTTGGAAGAGGGGCAATGTGAAGGTATGTCTCGGCTCCTCTCGCGCACGGAGTCGAATTATTGGGCAAGGTGACGACTTAATAAGGCACGTACACTAGAAAATAAGTACATCTTGGCAAGATGGGGCCATCTCCACGGATCGGGGCGGAGGGGCAGCAAAGAGCCCGCCCTAGTACTTCTGCAAATGACTACTGCCTGTCAAGTGATCTCACGGTAGAAGTGTTTCTAGAAGCCAGCCAGGTCTCAAAGTCCATCGCGACCGACAAAAGGAGAAAAAGGACACGGAAGCAGTGTATCGAGACACCCTTCGCCAAGCATCAACAGAGGGAATCAAATATGACTATGAACAGCTACCTACTCGACAGTGTCGCGTCGAGCCTCGCGGAAAGAATAGAATAGAGTGGGGGCCTTTGGTCGTCCAGAACCCGTGTGCGAAAATATGTAGATACCTTACCCCTGACGCCCGGCAGCCAGCACGACAGAAACCAACAAATAGCACCAAGCGCAATGAGACACCGCCGATACTTTGTGAAGTATCATCTCAACCCGATGACGCTCATCTCCAGCGTCCACACACGTCGGATCCACACCTTGAGCGGACCGTCGACGCCCTCGACATTCTCCAGCTCAATGCCCTCCCACCAGCATCGGCGCGCAGGCTTGCGCCAGAACAGGAGCAGCTTCTGGGCCATGCCGACGGCGTTGCCACCCGCGTCGTTGCCCCGGATGTCGCTGCGCAGCCGCGCCAGCGCCAGGCTGCAGATGACGGCCTTGTTTGGCTCACCCGCGCGGTGGCCCCAGTGGTCCTCACGATCGAAGCCTCTGTGTCCAAGAAGTCAGCAAACACTCAGCCAGTATACACCCCCCAAAAAACGTACCCCGCCGTCAGCATCTCAATAAGATGGGCCTCTGTGGTCCCGGGCTCGTCGCTCCTCTTCAGCCCGGAGAAGATGCCATCCTGCTGCTGGAGCGCCCTGGCGGCCGCGCGCTTGACGGCCAGCATCTCGTGCTGGGTAATGTCCTGCTTGGGCGGGATGGCGTAAAAGTCCAGGTCCTCGCGCAGCACGATGATGCCGGCTCGCTTAGAGTCGTCGCGCAGGCCCATGGGCTCGAGCGGGATGACATCGCCGTCCTGGGACGTGCCGGGCGAGCCTTCGGACGGCATCGTCTGGGCCACGTTGCGAAAGAAGTCAAGCATGTACTGCAGTGAAGCGGGGTCATACTAGATAGAGCACGGCAGGTTAGCGGTGATGTAACGCAATCAAAGGAGAAGGACGCCTACATCAACTTGCACGGCATCCCCTTCCGATAGCCCACCCATGTGGCCTTCGGGGAAGAGGCCGTTGGGGAAGAGTGACAGCAGGACAAACTCGGGCAGTGTCAACAGCTCGTCCCTAGACAGCACGAAGCGCGTGCCCCTGAGGTCCATGGCAATGGTCTCGTCGGCGCCGACATCGCCGATCGCGTTGACAGGCGGCCCACCCTGCTGCACCTGGGTGATGATGCTCGCTGCACCTCCGGCGGCAGCCATGACGAATGTAAATGAGTTGAGCGGCGGACTGCACTCCTCCTCGTAGGCAGGCGGCGGCTCTGCGTCGTCCTTGCTGGAGGACTCGGCCTTGTTGTCGCGCGGGAGACTCTGCTTGGTCTCGGCGACGGGGTCGTGCTGAAAGGCCGGCGGCTCAAAGGGGCCACGCTCTAGCGGGGTGTAGGCGGGGGCGCAGGAGGATCCAGAGGCGGCTTCGGCGTCCGAGGAGGCAGAGGCTTCGGCGGCGGCGACAGAGGCGTACTTGCCGACGCAGCGCTGCTGGCCGGACGGTGGCGGTGAGGTAAAGAGCGACGAGAACGGCGGGGGCCGTGGGGAAGAGGGTGCCTCAAAGGCGGGATACTGCGGCGGAGGCGAGCGTTCGCGGTTTTGCAGGGCGGTGGTGTTGTTGTCGGATGCGCGGTGGTCTCGATTGAGGAGGTGGTGGTGGTTGTTGTTGTTGTCGTCGTCGTCGACGGCACTCGAGGCGTGTAGGTCCGTGGTGCTGGGTTTCCTGGCGGTATCACGCAAAGCAGGCAACGAAGCAGGGTCGTGATCGATTGGGCGCGCCGTGACGTCGAATGTCGTGAGCACTGCGGTGAGGCTCACGTTGTTCCTCTAGTCTGGACGTTGCTCAGGGGCAGGATGGCTGGGGCCTGGGCGGACGGGGCCAGGACGAAGGGATCGTCGGTGCGACGGATGGGAGAGATCGGCAGCAACTGTGCGACTATCGCCAGCTTTCCGTGTCGTACAGAGGTACAGAAGCCGCGTGGAACGAAGAATGCTAGCCTGCTGCAGAAGATGGCGCGGACTAAGGTGATTCACAGAGAGGGTTGATTAGGGTGTCATGGTCATGAACGGCGATGGCCCTCCACTGCCTGAATGGGGCCCTCTCTACCTTACCGTAGGTACCTTGAGGCTAGCATCTGTTAGCGACTGGAGTTCCCTGGACGGGGCGCCACAGCGCAGCCGCCCACCCACCGCTAGCAGCCAACTGAACCAGCCATGTTGGAGGCTGGACCCGCCTATTTAAGCGCCAGTACTGCAGCCCAGCACATCTCATCTTACTGTCATGTACGCTCGGAGGACTTGCTACTATTCGCTAGATATCCATGCTGACGGCGCGGTTAGACGGTATTTTCTATTTCATTCACTGTCGCTGTCGCTGTCGCCAAAAATGGCCTTGAGCACTTCAGCGTGCGCAGATCCGCCCTCAATCGCCTTGTTCTCCTCTGGGTCCGGTACGCTCCCCCTCTCCCTCTGCCCAGACGCGGCCTGCGCGGTGGATGCCACAGGAGCTGATAGCGCCTTCAACATGTCCACGTGTTCTGCTCGAGTCTCTCTATCAGAGTTGAACGTCTGCGCCGGCATCTGAGCGTCCGCTCCTGGGTCTCCTTCCTGCTCCGCGCTGTTGGCTGGGGGCTTCACGTTGAAGCGCTTGCACAGCAGCCTCGTGGGGTGAAAGTCGGCAATCGACCTCGTCATCTGCCCGTACATGCCCATCTTGGCCGCCTCCTCCGCCGGATCTGTCGCCTTGGGCTCCGGTCTCGAGACGAGCTCTGCGTCGTCCCCCCCGGCACCGGTGGAGCCTGGTATCGTCTTGGACGTGGTGAAGCGCGAAGCCATGAATCCTGTCATGGGCTTGAAGATGCGGGCGCAGTTGTAAAAGTCGTTCATCTCCCGTATATAGTCTGCATCGGACATGCCTGCTGGTTTTGGCAGCGGTCGTTGCGCAGAGCTGGCGAGACATTCCAGATACCCTCTGTAGCGAGCCTTCTTTGCCTCGTCGTCAGCGTACGGTCCGCTTGAGCTTCTCGCCAATGCGGCGAGGGCCGTCTCCTGGTCCAGCTTGGGGACCTGCTGCCACAGTCTCTGTTGCTTCTCATCCTCGGACAGTCGGAACTCTTCCGGCACCTCGCCCCGCCCTTGCGGGAGGTCTGCTCTGCCCGTCGCCGCAGCCAGCTTGTCTCGATTTGACTGCGACATAAAGTCAAAGACTGATTTCCCGGGCAGCATCTTTTCACCGAGGAGAGCAGCTCGCGCTGACGCATCGAGTGTGGAAGCCTTGGCGGCGTCTGATGCTGATCCGTGGCTCGCGGGAACCGACGCGTGCTGGTCTCGCTGCTTCTTTGACACCCATCCAGATGGAACCTCGGGTGGCGCATACCGTGACAATCGATTGGCAAAGTCTGTGGTCATCTTGGCCAGTACGAAGCCGTCTAGGGGCAACCGTCCATCGTGACACCGCTGCAAGCTGTTGCCGGCTCTGGCCGTTCGCGGTAAAAAGACAGGCGCGCTGTCCAAAGACGGATTGACGGCTGTCGTTGTCTTTGCCTTTTTCTTCTTCTTGTCCCCCCCTACAGTCCTGTTGTATGATATCTTCGGCCCCATCTCGTACGGGTCTTCCTCATCAGAGCCATTGTCGTTGAGAATGCCCATGCCGATGCCCCCCTTGGCAGGTTTCGTCTTCTTCTTGGGGCCTGGAAGCAGGGAAAATCTACTTCTGGGCTCTTCTTCGACGTCAACGTCTTCTGTCCCGTTGCGCGGGGTGGTGCTCGAAGAATCAAGTCTTGTCTCCCCATCGTGGCCGAGCCCTTTTCGATCTGTTTTTCGAACAAACTGAATCATCGGTACATCGTCGGGCGCAAAAGCATACAATTCGCCGTGGCCGTCTTCCTTCAGATCAAGACGCGCTCCCCTGCGCACCTTGGGCCCAATGCCTTGACCATTCTTCCAGCCCATCTTTCGCAACAGCTTGAAACCCATTGTGTTGCCTTGAGGCCGGAGCAGGCCATTCAAGCCGCCGCCATCCTGAGCTTGCGTAGAGGATCCCAACCCTGCAAAGGCCTCGGACGTCTGCAACTTCTGCGCCTCGGCCGCGTCCGCGAGGTCCTCATCATCCATGTAATATTCAGGTCGCCGCTGTTGCCTCGCATCGTCCTTGCGACGGTTCGAGCGACTGGACACAAAGGTGGAGGGCGCCCATCCCTCCTTGGAGCCGACCGTGTTGAAGTACCCGGCACTGAAACCACCCGTGAATGCGCCATGGAGTCTCTTCCTCCCTCTCTCGTCCCTCACCTCCTGCTTCCACACCGGCACAAAGGAGCCGTCATCGCGCGTGTGGGCCTCGTCGGGGAGAGGCGTGCCAAACGTCGCATAGGGGGCGTGCGAGTGATCGGATTCGTAGGTGGTCCGGGAGCGTTTGTTGTTCTGATGGGACATTGGGAGGCTTGCTCAGCCGGAGGTGCGGGATTACATTAGGTGATCGTGGACGAGTTGCGCTTGTGTCGGTCGTGTGTCGTCTCGGCTCGACGGTTTTCGAGATTGACGTCGGCTCAGATAAGAGCTAGATCTTACCTTATCTGACCTTATCGATAGCACGTGCTACTCCATCCTCGGGACCGTGCGTGGGTTCTTGATTCAGGAACGCGCCAGTAAGCGTCTCCAGCTCCTCCGCATTTGTTGGATTTCGTTTAATGAAGCATTATAGCAGCATGTATTCGGTCGAATCACGCCCGAGCGCCACTCACTTAACGTCCAGTGCACCCGCATCATGGGACGGCATGGAGCTCACCTCACCCCATCGGCGATGTGGCAGGTATTCATTCGATTCCAGGTCCCAGCTGCGTTGGCTACTTGCTGACGGCTTCTTGGCGTGGCAGGCGGGGCAGATACGTAGTATTATTTGACGGGTATCTAACTACTCGGCTCTATTGTCATGACCTCGAGCCTCAACTGATTGTCCATCCCGGGCGGACATCCAGGTATGGAGTTGCGTGCGCGACGGGAACTTGCTTCTTGAGTCTGCTTGAGCGCGAGAGGCGTCCCATCAGGCATCTATGCGGCCATGGTGTCTTATCGCGTGTGGCATCAATGGCGTCAGTACGGAGTAGTCAGGGGTAAGTGCTACGTACTGTATGTACGGATAGGAGCTACCGCTAATGCCCGTTCGACGGGCACAGTGTAACGCTTTTGAGCGCATTGGCGACGTGTCGTGCAACCACTGCACCGCAAGGCTCTGCTATCCAGCCTGTTTTCGAAACAGACTATGGCGATTTCAGGCCAGTGGTGTGAAGCACAAAGTGAGCTATCTTGGAAAAGGCACAGCAGACCCACGATAGTCGGACGTGGATGGATACTGGGCAAGGACATGTGCTGCTAGCTCAACTTGATGATTTCTAGCTCTCAGCATCTACTGCATCCAACAATGAACATCAGCAGGCAAGTCTGGTGTCCCTACAGGTAATCTATATAGTCCTGCGAGCCTTGGAAGGCCCATCTTCCACCAGCTCCAGCCGTCCGTCCTAGGCAAAGTCAATCAGCCAAGGCCATTTAATTCCCATCCACCTCGTTCCACCGGGCCGTAATTTCCTCGGTCCAGCACGTTGCTCATCTGGCAAATTTCTTGCTTGTTGAATTTCATAATTCTCTTCTCTTTGATATCTTGCTGGCCATTCCGAACCATCAACACTGTTCTGGTATCTCCTGCACTCCGGTCGTCGTCAGCAGCTCCTCGAGGTGATATTTCCCAGCTCCTACAGCATCCCCAGCCACCACCACCTTCACACCTATTTCCAGCCTTCCAGGGGAGCTTCTACCCACAGGGGGGTGCAGCTGAATCAACTGAACTGTCTCATTTATCATGTTCATGTGAACGAATACAAGACAGCAGTCCCACCATAATCACCTTCCTGTCGTCCAGCTGCCCGCATCGACTTGGAGCCCAGAGGGCCTATACACAGCACCTGTAACGCCTATCAGCCATGACGACTGCCACTCCAGGCGGTGCTGCCGCTGCACCACCACCGCCAGCACCCGCCATGGACTGCCCTCCGGCCCAGCACTCCGTCTCTTCCCACTCCCGAGCCGACTCACACTCGCACTCTCGCCCCGCGCAGAACCACGACTATTCCCGTCCTCGTCAGCAGCAGCATCACAGCCATCATTCCACTACGAGCAGCAGCAACAGCCATACCGAGAACCCGAGCAGCCAAGGCCGACCCATCCAAGACGTCCTTCCCCACAATGACTACGAAACCTCGCACGTAGCAAAGCGCACCACAGCACCACCACCCTCGTCAGAGGCCTCATCCTCGTCGCGCTCCCACCACCGCCGAGCGGGCAGTCGCTCGACCACCCAGCCCGCCGCACCTCCTCATCCTCAGGCCCGGCCTCAACAGCAGCCGCCTCGCGACGCGTCGCACCGCCATTCCCACCGCCAGAGCAGCTCGACGAGCCACCGACCACCGCCCACCCACTCTACGATGCCTACCGCCGACCCCTCTCGGGGTGTCGTCCCCGATGGGCCCCATTCCTCTTCCTCGGCCTCCAAGCCCTCGAGGTCCAGGACGACCATCCCGACGCCTTCGGGCAAGTGGATCCTGGGCAAGACAATAGGTGCTGGGAGCATGGGCAAGGTCAAGCTCGCCAGGAAGGAAGACGGCGGCGAACAGGTCGCCTGCAAGATCATCCCCCGTGGCTCGACAGACGACGGCCACCAGTCGCGTGCCGACCGAGAGCGTGCCGACCACTCCAAAGAGGTTCGAACACAGCGCGAGGCTGCCATTGTCTCCTTGCTCAATCATCCCTATATCTGCGGACTGCGTGATTCCGTCCGCACAAACTATCATTGGTACATGCTATTCGAATACGTCAACGGCGGGCAAATGCTGGACTACATCATTTCGCATGGCAAGCTCAAGGAGAAGCAAGCACGCAAGTTCTCTCGTCAGATTGCCAGCGCTCTCGATTACTGCCACCGGAACAGCATTGTCCACCGAGATCTCAAGATCGAAAACATACTCATTAGCAAAAATGGAGACATCAAGATCATTGACTTTGGGCTGAGCAACTTGTTTGCCCCCCGAGGCCACCTCAAGACCTTTTGTGGCAGCCTCTACTTTGCGGCCCCGGAGCTTCTTCAAGCGAGAGCCTACACGGGGCCCGAGGTCGACGTTTGGAGCTTTGGCATCGTGCTGTACGTCCTCGTCTGCGGCAAGGTCCCCTTTGACGACCAGAGCATGCCGGCGCTCCACGCCAAGATCAAGAAGGGCGTGGTCGACTATCCCAGTTGGCTGTCTAGTGGTAAGTGCAAGTATTGCGAATGCAGGGAATCTGACTGACCAAACCAGAGTGCAAGCATCTCATATCACGAATGCTGGTCACCGACCCTAAACAGCGCGCGTCGATGCAAGAAGTCATGACACATCCATGGATGGTCAAGGGGTTTAACGGACCCCCGGACAACTTCTTGCCACCGCGCGAGCCGCTCGTTGCGCCGCTGGATCCGGAGGTGTTCCAAGCCATGCACGGCTTCAACTTTGGCTCGCCCGAGAGCATACAGGCGCAGATCCTCAAGACTATCGAGTCTGACGAGTACCAACGTGCGGTGCGGATGTACCAGCGCGAGAAGAACACAGCGCAGCCTCCCAAGGAAGGCGAGAAGAAGCGCGGGTTCGGGCTGGATTTCTACAAGAGGAGGAACTCGCAACACAGCCGAGATACTCTGACCGGCCCTAGTACGGAGGCTTTGCAACTCGGCAACGACCCGTTGAACGCCTTTAGCCCGTTGTTGTCCATCTACTATCTTGTCAAGGAGAAGCAGGATCGCGAACGAGTCGATACCGCGCCACCTGCCGCCGCCGTGGCTCGCGAGAAGGAGCGGGAGAGAGAGAAGGAAAGGGACTACGACCACGAGACGGAACGTCCTCGGGAGAAGGAGACTGGGCCTATGCCGGAACTGGCGCCGCCGCGGGCTGCCGTCACCAACGCGGCTGCGTACGAGATGCCCGGAGAGAAGCCGACGGGTGGCAGGTCAAGACCACGGGCTCGCACGCATGGTGAAGACGATGCCCCAGAGATCACCAAGAGTGGACATCTCGCACCGCCCGAGCCGAAGCCCGAGAAGGAGAAGAAGGAGGGCACCGTGCCTGGCTTGCTCCGGCGATTCAGCACCCGCAAGCGCAGAGAGCCCGAGCGCACGGGAAGAGATCGCTCTCACCCACCAGTGGTGCAGGTCCACTCTCCCTCCCATGAGCTCGGCCCTCGCAAGAGCTACAGCATCCGGCGCAGTCGTCGTGATCAGGACGAGGGCGGCGAGTCGTCGACACGCTCGCCCAGTAGCCAGCCACAGCACCGCGAGCTTCTGAGCCCGCCCAAGTCGGCCGGAGGCGCCCAGAGGAGCGGCCTAGGTCGGTCCACGAGCGTGAATTCGGGGACTGCTGTGCGACGGAACCAATCAAGCCGGCTGGCAAAGGAGCCCCCGCCCACCAGTGGCTCAGAGCAGTCCATGAACGCCGAACAGCAGGGCCCGCCCCGCCCGGGTCACGGCCACTCGCGGTCTGTGACGATGCGAGCCAAATCACTAGGCCATGCTCGGCGCGAGAGTATCCAGCAGCGGCGGCAGCGGCGGGAGGAGGCTCGTGAAGCCAATGTGCCCGAAGAGACGGACTTGGACAATGAGCAGAGTGGCCGGTCTAGCGAGAAACTGGATGACTCGGAGTTGGCGAAGCCAGTCTTCCTCAAGGGCTTGTTCAGCGTGTCGACCACGTCCGGCAAGTCTGTTCCTGCGATTCGCGCAGACATCCGCCGCGTCTTGAAGCAGCTGAACGTGGACTACACCGAGATCAAGGGCGGCTTCACATGCCGGCACGCGCCCAGTATCGACTTGAACAAGGTCCAGGACCCTCCCATGAGCCCATCGGCCAACCGTCGTCGTTTCAGTTTTGGCGGCCTGCGCCGCGGTGAGGACGACAGCCGCGAGAGTGACGCACCCCCCAAGACACCACGAACACCCGGTCGATCAGACCGTGACCGCAGCTACTCCAACTCGGAAACATCGGTCGACAGCATCCCGCGCAGGAACAACGGTCCGCCGAGGACAGCGCCCGGCGAGACGAGCACGCAGGTGCAGAGCGACTTGGGCGGTAGCATGGTGCTGGAGTTTGAGATCTTCATCGTCAAGGTCCCTCTGCTGACGCTGCATGGCGTCCAGTTCAAGCGCTTGACGGGCAACACGTGGCAGTACAAGAGCATGGCGGACCAGATTCTGCGCGAGCTCAGGCTGTAGAGCAGAGATGGCGGACGCATCCGCGGAGGGGGAGAAGGGCGCAAGTTTGTGGACGGGGCGGACGGGAGCTCCATCTCTGATACGGAGTGGGGGAGGACGAGGCAGTTGACGATGAGGACGAGATCGAGGTCGGCGTCTGTCGGGTGTCATATTGGACTTCTCCCATGCAGCCCTGGTCGGCGGGAGAGGTGAAGCAGGTGATGGTCACGTGAGCGGCGGCTCGCTCACTGCATTCACATTCAGTTCTATGGGAGCAATAGCATTCGTAGCGGGTTTCCTGATTATATACGATTCTTTGGCTCGTGCTGTTCAATGACTGTAGCCTACGAGTGAAGTAGACCAGTTCTGTACCGGGTAGCCAGATAACGAATGACTAAGCACAACAACCCTCGAACCTTCACCCGCCCTGCCCTCAGGCTCCACTGCCCGGACTGACCTCCATCACTCATCCTTGTACACAAGACCTATTGACCTGACCGACGCACCTGTACGACCACACAACTCTAGTACACACCAAGCGCATCGAAGTGCTCCGTCTCAATATAATATTCACCATCGGCTCCAAGCGCCAGTCGCGACGCGTGGCCCCAACTCGATAACCCTCCGCTCCCCGATCCTGCCTCTCGAGGCTCGAACAAGGCGATCGCAAGCCGTCCACGACGACAGGGATACTATACTGACTGTGAGCGGGCCTTGTTTGTTCGTCCCTCCCGCAGCGGCGCCGTTCACCACCGCACACAGCCTACAGTCGATTACGACCCTCGTCCCCCAACCACCGCGCATGCATCGACCACGGCAGCCGCCAGCCGTCGCCTCCAAGATGATGCCTGCGGCGCACATGTATGGACACCACCAGTTCAACCAGCAGTCCGAGTCTGCGTGGCTTCAGCAACAGCAGCAGCAGCAGCCAGGCTCGGCGGGTGGAGGCAACGCTCAGCAGCAACAACAGCAACAGCAGAATGCTGCTGCGCAATACAACCGCTTAGGCAACCCCGGAGCTGGCGGCAGCGGACCGCCCGTGGGACAAGACGCGGCAAACGCGGCGGACAACGTATCGGAAGAGAACAGGAGGACCATGGCGTACATTGCCGACCTGCTCAACGAAAGCACCCGGGAGGCCGCGCTTCTGGAGCTGAGCAAGAAGAGGGAGCAGGTGCCCGAGCTCGCGCTCATCCTCTGGCACTCGTTCGGCGTCATGACGAGCCTGCTTCAGGAAATCATCTCGGTCTACACGCTGCTGAACCCGTCGCAGCTGACGGCGGCCGCGAGCAACCGGGTCTGCAACGCGCTCGCGCTCCTCCAGTGCGTCGCCAGCCATCCCGACACGCGGACGCTCTTCCTCCACGCGCACATCCCGCTCTTCCTCTACCCGTTCCTCAACACGACCTCAAAGTCCCGTCCGTTTGAGTACCTCCGCCTCACCAGCCTGGGCGTGATCGGGGCCCTGGTGAAGAACGACTCGTCCGAGGTGATCAACTTTTTGCTGACGACGGAAATCATCCCCCTCTGCCTGCGTATCATGGAGACGGGATCCGAGCTTAGCAAGACCGTCGCCATCTTCATTGTGCAGAAGATCCTCCTCGACGACAATGGTCTCAACTACATCTGCGCCACCTACGAGCGGTTCTACGCCGTCGGCACCGTGCTGAGCAACATGGTCTCCCAGCTGGTCGAGTCCCAGACGGCGAGGCTCCTCAAGCATGTGGTGCGCTGCTTTCTCAGGTATGGACAAAGAACGGGCAAGGGAACTTTTTGACTGACAGTCACAGGCTAAGCGATAACGCTCGCGCGCGTGAGGCTCTGCGCCAATGCCTCCCCGAGCCCCTCCGCGACGCCACCTTCTCCTCGGTCCTGCGCGACGACGCCGCCACGAAGCGGTGCCTCGCCCAGCTGCTGATCAACCTCTCGGATAATGTCGTGGAGAACAGCGGCGGACTGGGCAATATGTAGTCGAGAAGGAACCGGCCATGGCGATTGTGCGCCACTTTCTTTTCTTTTCCACCACCAAAAGATTTTATACAGCGAGCGAGGCGGACGTGTCACGCGTATCCCATGAGGTTTACGGAGGCAGGCCACAAACAAAAAGCATTCAGGGCGATGGACTCATTCGGAGGGATTGATGGATTTAACGTGAGCTGGCAGCCCCCGCGCGATGGCCTCACGGCATACTGCAAATATTGTCTATTGCTCATGCTTATACGTACGGGCAGCACCTGGGCTTCCTTCCCCCATGGGGGATCTAGCTGGAAGGGTGACGCGGGAAGGACATTATGGAGTTTTGCGGCGTTCGGGCGATGGACTTGGCGTCTGGCTTGCTTGAGGGTCACTTGGCATTGTACGAGTGTGGCACGGGGGGGTCGAGAACAGCGTTTTCAGGCAGGTAGTAGAAGAATACGGAGCGAATAGATGTGGTTGTTTTTGTCATTTGGTGGCTATCGAGTCCCGTCGAGTCCTACGAGTGCGCAGATCTCAGGGGTCTCTTAGTGACTTGGAAGAACATCACCCTTGAGTGGATAGTGCGGCAGGGGACCAAGCAGGCCACGCGATCCGGGTTCCATTGCATGCAGGGCTGAAAGTTTCGCCAGCTCATGGCGGTCAAGATTCAAGAACAGTGATCGACAGACAGGGATAGATGTGTGCCTCAAAACGCGGATACCGTATTCACTCGACAAAGTTCGTATGTCTTGCTAGGCAAGTTTTGCTCCCCAGCCGTAGCGACTCTGTTGAGTGAGTGTCTCACGCCCTTGGAAGAATATAACTAGTAGAGAGCCCCCTGAAGCACATGCCGCAGACGCAGGGGCTGGTGCCGACCGCAGGTCCCAGGATATGGATACGCGAGAGAGGATGCACTTGGACTGTTGTAGGCCTGCTAGACGGTAGCATTATTACAGTGCCATGTCCTCGTAGCCGCGCACTACAAGAGCCCGCAGAATACACCCCTCCACCCCGAAGTAGCCCCTTGTCGACGAGCCACCGTACTGCTGTGCCGCCTAATCTGGGCATCATGCTTGTATCTTGCCAGCTCATCCTCGTCGTCGCCATCGTCGTCCTGACCACGCTCATTGGCGTGATGATCAGACGCGGCGCCCGCGTCCTGTCCCGAAGGAGAACTCGTCGCCGTGATACTCCGTAGCGTGATGGCAAAGTCCCCATGCTGTGAGTCGAAGAAGCTAGAGCACATCCAATCAGCTGGGGCCCTGTCTGGGTTGCACTTGTGCCCGAAGCGGAAACATGTTTCGAGATGAAGCCAAGACTCATTTCCACCAGACAAATGCCGCGGTAGGGAAAAGTTAATTACGACGTACCTCCTCATCATGAGCCCGACTCGTTTGACATTGGCCGTGTCCAGTGGTGTCGCGTCGTCCTTGGGGCGGCCGCGGTAGGTCGCCTTGAACTGCCCCCACGGTAACCACACCTCTGTGGCGTCAGCCTTGCTCGAGGTGAACTCTGCCTCCCAACTGACGCCGCTCTCCATGCGCCCGTCCGGTCGGCGGCCTGGGATTTCGTCTTTCAGGGTGATCACGTATCGCTTGCCGTCGCCCTCGCCCAGACGGAGGAGCAGCCCCTCGTACCGGGAGAGGTCCCAGTGGTTCGTGCCCCGCGTCTGCTGCGAGGCGAAGCCTGCGCCCCCGAGCGTTGACGTGTCGAGGGTGCCGTGGAAGCGGGCAGCCTTGCCGTCGCGGACGGTTAGGTGGGACACGCTGGAGCCGCCTCGTACGCGGTCGTCGGTGGTTTCCCAAAGGGACGTATCCCAGGGCCTGGTAGTTGGTTAGCTGGGTGTTGATCGGGCCATTGGGGCATAAAGCTGGCCTGTCGCCTCCGAAGAGGTCAAGTGGCGTCTGTCTCTGCATGCTTTCGACGTTGGAAAGTGATTTGATGCGATGGTGAATGAGTTGTTGCTGCGGAATGATTTTCCTCGCTCTGCCAGTCGATGACATAACCGAATTCTTATCGATAAAGCTCATGAAGCTCCGAATCGTGAGCCCGTGCAAGTGCCCCCCGAAACCCCACAGATTCAGTCCGTTGTCAGCATCCGGACGCGGGCGTCGCCCGTCTTACACTTGACTAAGACCTCCAAGATGCGACGCTAATCTAGTCCTTTCCGTTGGATGTTTGAGGACCAGTCCTTGACATCCGTCAAGGCAATAGTCTAGACAGCTAACCGAGCGGACTTCTCCCGATGCTTCCGGAGCGCACAACAGGCTAATTGTGCAAGTCAAGGCTACGTTCAAGGTTCGAGCAAACTATGTGCGGCTGGAGAGAGTAGTACGTAGGCCTCGCTCAGGCTTGCTGAGAGTTTGACAGGTCTACCTGCCGATCAGCTCGCACTGGGATCATAGACGGGTGACGTCTTCTGGGCCGGATTCCAGAGCACAGGCTGCACAGCCTACGTGTACCCGCACGCCCGTTCGGTTGTCGCCTTGTTTGGACTTTGTTGAAGGTGTCCTACGGCACAGCTTTAGGTGCACTGCCCAATGCACTGACAAAAACCGCCCGCCCGACTCTACCGCCTAGGGCCAGATGGCGGTGGACGTCCGCCTTCGCGCAAATGTACCTTGTAGTACGCTTTCAATGACAGACACCTCTGTAATTGGACTCACATCAGGCTAAATCAACAAATTGTAATCTTGGGCCACTTGGTGCAGACCGAATTTAAAGTCCCCAGCGACCTAGCTAGAGAGGCGGGGTGGCGCATGTCACGCAAAGCCCGAAATGCTGCAGGACGATGTAAACCTTGTTTCACAACGTACGGAGTACCGCGCGCCGAATTTCAAATCTCGGATTTCAAATTCAGCCGAGTCCTTTCGGACTTTCTGTGTTTGACCGGGGGCAAGCACCCTGGTCCCATGCGCACGTCCTGGTTCTCAAACGGGACTTTGATTCGAGTCACCGACTCACTGCGAGGGGCTGCGGGATTCACGTATACGTGCGTGGAATTGATGCCTCCCATGGCTTTGCTCGCCGGCAACCTGAAGAAACGAAATAAAAAAAAACCCCATCGCCGGGGGCGGCAAGTGATTGTTGCCCCGGCTGCCCATGCTACAAACGCCCCGTTCTAACCCACGCTTTGAAGTACCCAAAATGTCTGTCGTGTTGCACATGATCTCGTGTGTCGATCCCCATTCTAGTACAATTCCCTTGCCGCCTCACCCACCATGTGTGGCATCATGCCCGGCGACTCGGACATGGAGAGCGGTGTCGTGGGCAGCTCCAAGGCTTCGAGGCCCGTCTCGGAGCAGTTGGCTGACTGCTCAAATGAATGTGACAGCGGAGGCGTCTATCCGGGAGCCTTCTTGTCAGCGTCGTCTCGAGGCAGCGGGGTGGAGAGGGAGCGAGGTTGTTTGGGGTCACTCACAGCAGCATTGGACCGGGCGTAATTGGAGTCCATCGAGTTCCAGTAGGGCCAGATGTTGCCATGCTGGCTGGTGTGGTTGTATCCGCCGTCGCTGGAGAACGACTCCTGCTTATAGGCATCGCTAAAGTGTGACATGGACGGCATTGTCGAGACCAGAGGGGCCACAACAGGGTAGGCGTAGCTGTCATGTGTCGTCGCGGGTGTCTGGTAGGGGCTCGTCGTATCGTAATTGCTGGGCAGTGTCTCCTCGGGTGGAGGGTACGCAGCGCCAAAATGATACATGGGAGGCGTGTGCGAGTTCTGGCGGGTACAAGGCGGGAAAAGATAGTCGTCATTGTTCTCCATTGGAGGTGTGAGATGCATCTGCAACTCGGGTGCCGTTCCCTGTGACCTAGGCTCCGTCTTGGCCTTGGAGGCAGCTTTGCTGGGTGTGCGCTTGGCCTTGGTGGGCGGTGGGCTGGGCTTCTTGTCCGAGATCTCTTCGTCCTCTGGCTCGTTGGAGCCCGCGCGGCGCTCAAGATCCTCCATGCGACGCTTGAGCTTCTTCCCTGCCAGCAGTGTCAGAAGGGCATCACGTTGGGTCAGTAGCGTCGAGGGCACCTACGGTAGTTGCGCTGGGCGATGCGGTTCTGTATCCTCCGGCGCTCAGCAAGATCCGCAATCTGTGTCCAGTCCTCGTGGGGCAGCGCCGAGGCGCTGAAAGCACTGCTTGTCCCGTTGCCGGTATACGTGCTGTTCTGTGTGGCCGGGAGAGTCTGCGCATAGCCATAGGCTTGCCTGCCCGGCTCTTCTTGAGGAAACATGGACGTGGTCCCTGCGTACATGTTTTGTGCTGAGTGAAGCCGATTGTCGTGGCCAGAGGTCATTTCCTCACGTCCCTATAGTTCTCCACGGCCAGATGGGTTGTCGGACACTTATCGAAGGGTTGTTGTACTCGAAAGTCTTTGTCAAAGATTTCAACGTATCCGCGTACCTCTGTGAGCTATGAAACGGAAGATCAGATCGAGTCAGATGGTGATGTGGGAGGGCATCAGGGTTAAATATCCCCACGAGGCAGCAACGTATATAAATGGAATGGAGATGTCCATCCCCGACTCCCCTGCCCGCCAGCACTGGCGGTGCCGCATGATGAGCCATCCTTGGTGCGTAGGAGGCCAATGATGCACAGCGGACTTTGGAGCAAAGGGGCGGACAGCAGGGCTGCTGGCTCACAGGGTCGGGTCAAGGTACAGCAGGGCGTGCGAGCAGTCGTCGTCCACAGGGTCCGAAGTGGAGGGCGCCCTCGTCTTGGGGGCGTCCTCTGCGCGCGGTTGTCGTCAGGAAGTGTGGTGGCTCAATCAATGCTCTGCAGACGACACGCGATGGCCGGGGGGGGAAGAAGGTAGGAGGGGGTGGCAGGCACTGAACGATCCCACACGCCATGGCTCCTGCCTCCAGCCTGCATGGACCCCCGCTGGACCCATGCCCGCCTTTCCCACCGCCCAATGAACGTCGATGTCTGCCTGGGCACCGTGTCCGCCTCGCTTTCTTTTGGCTATTTAGCCCACATGCTTGTGTCGCGGCTACTTTGTCCGTGCCGCAATGCTACTGGACTGGCAAGCGCTGCACTGCCTTGAGGACTGGAGTCGGATCGCTGGATATGCCACGGGGTACTACAGATAGTGAAGATTACCAGAATCTACACAGATCCGTCGCCGGGTCGGGTATCAAATTTCATGCACCCTTCCCTCAGACCATCGCTCTTGAATGACAGGCAGGGTGCAAATTTACTAGTATTCTGAACAAGCCTTGTGAGCTTCGCTGAGGAGGGGCGGGGCCTGACTAGTGATTCCCTGGAGGGAACGATGAGAATTTGGTTACGCTCTTCGAAGACAAAACGCGTTTTTGACTTGCCATCTGTTTGTGCACAAGTTGCGTATATCGGGGAAGAATTCTAGTCTTGCCAAGCCTCTTGCAATGTACCGGGCTTTGCATGGGAGGACACCGGCACCAGGTAAAGCCGGGGCTGAACATCCGGAAGGATGAGACGCAGGTTGAACATGATCGCGAGAACCCTCCACTCACTTTGCAGTACTACGGCTTGGAACCAGCATTCTACTTCCTGCGTCGAGTAACAATACCAAACAAGGCAGGCCATGCCATCATCGGAAGCTTTCAACATCGAGTTCGCATGAAGGCTCCGCGTTGTGAGGGCATTGTGGGACGCTCCAGGGCCGGAATCCGCCTGGCGGGTTCTGGCGGGCTGGCCTGGCCTGCGCCCGCTGTCGGGTTTGGGCTATTTCTGGAGCGATTGCATGTACGGTACCAATCCCGGGGGCCAATTCCCCGCCATTGGCCGGTCTGTCGCCGAGCATCCTCCATTCTCACTTTTAACTTTCCCACCTCCGAGTCCAGGGTGTGAGGCCGTAATTAGGCTCAGTAGCACGACCGGCATCAGATCTCACGTCCCACGCAGTCTTATAAATCCACGATGAACAGTGTCAGAATTATCATCCTCCCGCTTTGCCTTCATCATCGCAGGACCATAGCGCGGGAGCTTTCCGGTCCAGTGGACACTAGACAGTCGGGCAGTCGGGCTACTACAGAGCGAGGCGGCGAAGCCAAACGGGCCGTGGCACCCTGCGTGAGTCACCACCTCCTTATGAATTACCAAGTCGACCCTTTGAAACGGAAAACTCGCTTGTTGCTGCCAATCAAAAGACGCCAAAGCCATGGTGTGTTCAGCCCTATGGTCCTGCCATGGTCTTACCATGGTCGACCAACAAGATTCCAGGAACCTGCTGCTCTCCCAAGGGTCTCTTCCCCAAAAAGGCGGCAACTTTCGAGATCAGTTAGCAATGAGACAGTGTTGGTTTGCTCCCGGCTGCTGTCTGCCTGCAGGTCTGCCAACGCATCTGAAGCACGGCGACTCCGGGTCCATTGCCTGTGGCTGCGTCCTGCAGCGTCTATCCGCCAATGGAATTGCGCTGGTCGGCAAAGGGACCAGGGACTATGGAGATGTCGAGCGAGCAATCGTCCTGAAAAGGCAAGGGATTCAACTTTGTTCTTTCGACGAGGGCTTTTGCTGTCAGGACGTACTTTGCGCGTAGCCACTAGCCATGGCTCTCCAGGAACTTTTGGATAGCTCGTCAGCAAAGCCTGAAGACTCGACCTTGTCCACTCATTCTACTTGTAGGCACCATCACTATTGCAACTTGCTGGCAGCTGCTGCAGCCTGCAGGGACCAGCATCGAGCGGCCGTGGCGATCAGCCTTACAAAGGACCGTGCAGCTGTCACTCGCCATCAGCACTCAAATTTCATAAAAAAGAAATGATATCGCGAAGCCTCCGAAATAATCGCGCGCTCATTCGGTCTTGCAAGTACTGCGTAGCCAATGACGTTCTTTCGTCGCTCGTCGACAAGACACTCTTGGAGAGTGAAGTAATAACAATGATACTATTACGCACCTCGCTTCGGATTCGACAGGTTTCCAAGCCGCTAGTCTAGTATTTTAGTGAATCTCAACAAGCCCCAGGACTCGTTGCTTTACGAGGCCCCGTTGCCGCTCTGCCGCCAAGAGGAGACCCGCTCATGAGCCCGCGGTGATCGGTGACTGACCGCGTCGGCACTTCTGTCGCCTTGCTGCCAAAGAAGCATCTCGTGAGGCTCGCATAGCAATCACTGCGTGAAGAACCAAGGCGTGCGCGCATGAGACAATGTGGAAGCCTGGAGCTGAAGACAGGCTAAATACACCGCATGGGTCACGTGTGGATTATGCAGATGATTCACTGAGGCTGTTAGTGCTCCACTGCAGCACTGCTCGCGGGCACAGGGCGGCAGAGCTTCATCCTCCAAGGTCGCTTGGCGGTGTGTCTGCATCAATAACGCTCGAGGCCCGACAAGGGGCCGTAGGGCTGAACGTTAAGGGTGCTCAGACATGTCACGGGTGGCCATCCATGCTCTACGAACACAGCAGCCAATGTCCTTGGAATGGCGCGTCGTGTTCGGCTGCTTTCCAGTAACCAGACGCTGGTTCGCCATGGATTCAAGCGACTTGGGATCTCCCGATCCTAGTCGGTGATCCTCGGGGCTCCTGGACCTCGTTCTTATGGTAATCAATTAATTAATTAGGCAGTGCATCGCAGCTTGCGTAAGGCACGCTGCTAGCCACGCTGCCGTTGCCCGCCAGTTCTGGGTGCGACAGAGGATTTTTGGAGGCGAAAGGGCGGGAATTGGTCTTTTGCTGAACGACCGGGGCACCCCTGGCTGCAGGACTGGAGCTGGAGACGTCCATCCTTGGATGCGACAGAATGCGCAGTTCCTGAACATATTATGCATCCGCTCTCCCGCCCTCGATTTTGCAGCAATCGAGCGGCTGGCTGCAGCTTGACCCTGATTGTCCTCGTTGCGCGCAATTTGCGCCCTTCGTCCACCATCCACGTCCATCGAACGATCCTAACAAACGCGCCGCCCCCAAAAGCAACACTGCGCCTGGGAACCACGGGGAGATGCATCACTCGGGCTAACACGCCATGGCAATCGACCAATTGTCACTTGAGGCGAGCTTGCGGAAGGATTATGGATGCTACCTAGGTGTCACTGGCAAGCCGCCAACGAGACGGCGCAACTCGACGTGCCGAGCCCCGTCCAACCGTCCAGGCGCAGCACCATTTGGCCGGGTTTTGATTAGCGGGGTTTTCTCTCCAAATGCCCGCCCCTCCTTTCGTGACATGGACCTTGGACATTGCTTAGTGCGTCGCCCGAAACATGAGTAGACTTGGACGCACGCATTCAACGGGTGATACCGGGCTTTACTAGGTGTTTTTGCCCTTCAGGTCTTCTATTCCCAATCTTCGCGTTAAGTAACTTATTCCCACGGTAATAGCACGGATGAAACGCTCGGACATAAGCCTTGTGGCTTTGGGACTATCTCCACCTATCTCCCGTCCGTACGTGAACATTGTCAAAACAGTGCTTGCTTTTTGGCTTGCGGCCTAACAGACCGCTGCTCTTCCATTTGCTCTCACATGTACTCAAGCTGCTGGACACAACTATCAGAGCGAAAGACCATGAAGAGCACGACTCGGAATGTAACTATCAGGTAGGGTACAGCGCGGGGCGTCTGCCTGCATCACTGTATTGTGCAGCTGTTGTTGTGGGGGGCGCCTCTCATCCAATGAGCCGCTCTCGACGTCAAAAGCGAATTTCGCAATTCCCCTGTATAAGCCGAAGCACTGGAAATGCTGTAGCTTCAACAACATGGCTGTCCTTTCCTGCTTACATGCTGACTCTGCAAGGCTATTTGCCCGTTAATTGCTGCATCACGATATGTGTTGATGGCGTTGCGAGAGCAAATGACAGCGGTTTGCCCCTGGCTGCCTCGCAGTAGCCGAAGGCATCTGTATTCGAATACTGCACCCAGTACACGGCAATGGCCTCAAAAAATTATCCTAGACGTTATCTACCATGGCAAGACCACGTCCAGGCTCGTGACGGGGCCTTGTCACCTTGTCGCTGGCTGGAGATGTCTTCCGGACACCATAATCATTCAGATATCAGACGACGTTGGCGTTGCATGCTGCACGCTATAATGGAATAACAAAGTCCTGAGACTCAGCCAAACTAAGTCTGATTGCTTTCTGGACACGAAAGCTAGAGCTGCGAAAAGTTTTCACCGTTCTCTTCTCCATTCGCTAGTTGCGAACCTCGGATTCGGGAGCAACTCGAGATCCTTGATACTGCCGGGCTTGCTTGGCTCGCAAGACAATATTACCCTCGTCTACTCTTATCAAGTCCCTCTGCGTACCTGGTTTACCATGGCAAGAACCACATCGAAAAGTAAGCAGCAGGAGGGGGTCGACGGAACCTCAAGCATAGACTCAATCGAGAAGCAGCCGATGAATCGGAACAGCATCAGCCCATACTAACAGTGGATCAAAGAAGCCATTGGCAAGCACAAAGATTCCGTCATGGGAGAGGAGTACCAGGATGCTGTTGGTGCCGACCCAAGGGACATTCTTGATTTCGCAGCCCAGGAGTGTTGTATTTGGTCACAAATCATGTCGGAGGAAGCCGGCGAGGGAATTTCTGCAGAACTCAGCCGGCGAATACTTCGCCAAGCGCACATTCTAGTGGATCTTGATCAAGAGAATAAGTCTGTGCTCAAGACGATTCAGTCTCTTCGCGAGGGGTATCAGTCTTTACTCAAGAACAATCCATCGCTCCGGGAGACACGAGAAGACGAGAAGAATTGATGAAATTGCAGTCCAGGTTCTCTACCTAAAGACTATACCAAGCGTGCCTAGACTAAGCGTGTCATACCTCCCCATCACAGCCCAGACAGAATTCCAGTCAGAGCTACCAAGGACTTTGTTGCTTGAGTGTCGACCATGACGTCCTGCTTGCACCAAGCTCGAAAAGATTCCTACAGTTTGAACATGTGCGTGACCCATATGAGATAGACATATATCGCGGAAGTAGCTTTGCAAATGAAGAAGAGCGTGTTGTGTGTATGTCAGAGGACTTTCGTTGTGATCAGTGAGTCCCGAGCGGGTTTTTGTGCGTCGCCATAGGCTTTACCGACCTCGATTACACCCACTGTACACGTATAGCCACTGCCACTGGAGAAATGGCCTTTATGTTTGCCAAAGAGCGCTCAGTTGGCCCTGGTCTTGCGTTCGGTGGGAAAAACGCGAAGGCGAGTAGCTGGTCATATCGTTCAAACTGAAATGTTCATCAAATGTCTGGGCCAGTGAAGTGATGACTGGAAATGCCCGGAATAAGTGTTCAAGGTTGTTGGACCATGGGATCATTATGTGTGAGGAGCTGTAATGTATTGAAACAGAAACAAGGCCTGTCTTTTTGGTTGTGTGTAAAATTGAAGGAGAAGTGGCTCCAAGTGCATTTGTGGAAGGGCGGTGGCGCTTGGTTTGATGAATAGTAGCGACTGCAGGGTAGCAAGCTTGAAGTCGGTCGACTGGTAGTTGTGAAGAGCGAGTTGGTGTTGATCAGGCTATGTGATCTGCTGGCGCTGACCGTTGTGTGTCTTGATGTCTGGGTTGATGACTGTCATGCAGATTGTTATAGTTGACGTTGTGTGGATGACAAGGATGTTGATATAGGCGTCGAGCGGTCGCGTTGAAGTGCCATCGATAGTTATGTAGTGGGGATTCGATTGGTTCGCCTCCGAGAGAGTCTCCATGCCGTAGTTAGGATTGGAGCATATCTTTTCGTTGCCGCTGTTCACCCACTGAAGGTTCACCTTGTCGGACGCATACTCGACCTGATGAGGAATTTGCGGAGGCGCGATTCGGATCGACATGTGCACAAACCATGGCTATGCAATGCTTTCGCGTCACAAACACCCATACGCTGGTGTTGTCTTTTTGGCCCCGTCTCTTTGGCCCCGTCTCTTTGGCCCCGTCTCTTTGGCCCCGTCTCGCTGGTGTTGTCATTGTATGTTCGCTGACCATAAATACCCCTTCGCGTGGCTTTTGGTCCCTGTCGATGTATCCTTCAACCCTCACCTCCCCGCAACCACTTTTCCACTGCCTCCCACGCGCCGAGTGTCTTGACCGGCGGCCCCAAGACCCCCATTTCCGGCATAACCTCCTAGACGATTAGACTCATCTCTCCCACCCCCCC